TACCCCGTCCGAGATTGACGCGATGGAAGCGATACGCCTTCCTACACCGTCACCACCACCGAAGCCGTCGTCCGTCGAGGATCGACCTCCATCCCCTGGCGCTCATCCTGTTGCGTTTCTTTTCTGGCAAAGCAGGAACGCTGCCCCTCCCGTGGCTGCACTGCCGAGGTTAACTCCTCCTACAGACGGTGATGGTGATCACGAAGACAGCAAACCACAAACTGCAGCAGAACTCATGAGTGAAGAGTCAGCACAGCGGTTGTTGGAGGACAACGCCGACATGGCTCCTCGTGCAGAACAGTGCCAATCCTCGACCCGTGCAGCATCACGTAAGCAGCAGCGTCAGCCGACTACGCGTCGTCCTCTAACACGTTCGAATGGCCGCACAACTTGTTCGACGGCCCGGGTCGACATTCCATCTCCAGCTGCCCGAAAAACCAGGCAAGCCCGGAAGGCGGGTGGAGCTCCAATCTCGTCTTCGAAGATCTCTAAGCCAACTCCAACGCGTCGCAGCCTCCGGATCGCGGAAAGAGAAGGCCGCTCGAAAGGTGTTTGTGCCCCAGCAGAAGCCATGAAAGCTATGAACAAAGACGATGTGACAGCGCAACCGCAACTGAACCAGCAGGTCAAGGAGACCTCAACGAGAACGACGAGAAGGAAGACGGATCGCACCAAGGGAAGACATCCACCAACAGCGTCGAAGCCGCAAGGCGTTGCAAAACGAAAGGGCCGTTCACGACGTTTGAATGCTTGAGGGGGGAGGATGTCCGGCGTTGTTCTTCTGGTGGCGACACTGTCTAGACATACCATTTGGGACCTTGAAAACAGTTGGGACCTCAGGGGGTCAATAATGGGAGAGGAAGTGAGGTCTTGGGGGAGCAGACTACGCGGCAAACAATATTCTGGCACAGTTGGCTGAGGAGAACCTAGCCACTCGAGGAATGTAAGTAGAGCTTCAATCGATTCCAGTCCATGAGGGAATTGGTTCAGTTACTGCAAATAGCCCAATACACCACTGCTGGCCATCACTACTATGATCTACATCAATTCGGTCCCTTGCCAACGCCCTCGGTCTTAAAAAATCCGATACACATGCTTTTACGGCATGGGCCTCACCATGCTGCAGTTTCGTCTACCCAACCACGAGCCAATTCAATCCACCGGCCACCAACTCGTGCGGGTGAGGTTTTAGCCAGTCACCACTGAGCCCGAAGGTGAAATCCTGGGAAAAGACTCAGCGAATTCCTTATACTATACTCACCAAAAACTGCGCCCAAGCCTATCCAGAAGGCTTCCACACCGCTATGACCTCAGTCTGTGGCAACTCAAACTGCGCCGGAAGCGGTAAGCCAAGATGCCTTAGATACGACATGGGTGAGGAGAAAAAGACCGATCAAGATGTGGAATACTTCGATCTGCGATGCCAGTATCTCGATTTCGACGGCAAAGTATTTGGAACGGTCCAGGCTAAGCTTTCTATCGAAAAATTCCATGGAGCCAGACAGATCCACACTCTGAACACATTTCCGCTCAGCTTTCATCCAACCCACGGGAATATTAGGTAGAGTCTTGCAACCTGTGGTCAGAAGTTCATAGGCTGATAGGCACTCACCACCGGAGCTTTACAGGACACGCTTTCTTCCAGCATATGGACGGCCTCATCCGAAAGACAATTGACTCGAGGATCATGATTGATGCCCAACAATTTCGGAAGAGCATCCCCAATTATCCGCGGTTCTTCACCAAAAAGTCCGACTTCGAGGTGGACGTGAGCCTATTTGTGTCGTCAAAAGAATCAAACTCGCCAACAAGATTTGACTATCCCAAGACAACAAGCACACGCTTCTAGACAGCTTTATAGATGTCAAATCTACTATCTTGAGAGATATCCTACGAGATGTCCTCGATGGGGCCACCAGTGTCAGCTTGCGGGAAGACAGACCATCGGTGAGTAATATACTTGAAAGATCGGAATCATCAACGCGACCCCCAACTCTTGACTAGATCAACCCGGATGTTTTGTTCACGTATCACACCCAACTTGATGCGGTCCATGCGACTACAAAACCAGGATCTCCTGAGAGGCTCCACCTCGGTAAATTGATTGAATTCCTGAAGTCTCACTACGCCTCGGCAAGCGACAAGCTCACTGCTCTCGTTCAACACATGGAGATTACATTCGATCTGCTGCCCGTCTTTTTCCAGCCAAACTCCATCGTTTACATGGTTTCTTCCACTTCTGAAAACCCAAGATGTCCCCTTTTCGATGCTAGAAAATTCCAGATCGAGCACGGCCAGAAGCGTTTCGACATGAACTGTCGATATCTTACCCATGATGGAAAATGTTTTGGTGAAGCAACAACTATGGCCGAAATTTCCGAGTTTCACGGTGTCACGAAGATAACTTCATCAGGAGTCTATCCTCTTGACTATCACCCAGAGAAGCAAGAGGTCGTTGACTAGCTGAATGGGCGCGGGCGAAAGGTTCTCTCCCTTATCGGTACTCATTTCCGTATGTGCGACGGGCAGGGTTTCTATATCGACAAGAAAGAAGTGAAGAAGTTCCCTGTGACGGGACGAGTCATGGTTGATGCTGCCTCATTCAGGGAGAAGAATCTAAATTATTTCTTTCCCCGGCTTGAGACAAGTCCTCGGAAGGTCACAAATGGCTTTGGGGCATTGACTCTGAGGACGCCTCCAGAGACGATTCTTCTGAAACTGGTCATGAGGTGCAGAGACTAAAGATTCCGTGCTCGACGGAAGATTTGTTAGTTTGCAGCTAGACCGTATATGCCTTTTGTTTTCAGAGGAAACGGTGGGGTCGGTATTGCCCTTTCCTGTCACTGAATCACAGTCGAGGTGTCTTGGGCTAACCATCCCTCCGTCTAGGCGAACTCTGCGTGGACGACATCGAGAATATTAACGGGGATCATTCTGCGTTTGATACTCTCGTGATCCCGGCTAATCAAAAGAACATCGTCCAATCTCTCGTGGAACGTCACCCGACTGGCACTGACGATGAAATGTTTGAACGATATTATCCAAGGAAAAGGTCAAAACACCGTTGCCCTTTACAGTATGTTTCCGAATCGACGCTCTATCCCTCCAATCAGCTAACTTTGATCAAGGCGGCCCTCCTGGTGTTGGCAAGACTTTGACGGCGGAAGGCCTAGCGGAAAAGAGGAAGCTTCCTCTCTACAGTGTCTGTCAAACCTACTTCATTTTGTCTAGGCCTCATCTAACTCCGCATAGGTGTGCGCGGGAGACCTAGGTACAAATGCCGAACATCTAGAAGAAAATCTACTCGAAATCACCTCGCTTGCCTATAAATGGGGAGCCATCATTCTGATTGCTGAAGCCGACGTGTACCTTGCCGAGTGCTCTCTTCAGGATGTCCAACGGAACGCCCTTTTATCAGTCTTCCTCCGCCATCTGGAGTACTTCCAAGGCATCATGTTTTTCACCACCAATCGGGTCGCGACTTTTGACATGGCAGTCCAAAGCAGAATCCACTCTTCGATCAGATTCGGCGACCTCGGTAAAGATGCGAAGAGAAAGATCTGGAAAACCTTCTTGGGTAGGGTGAAAGATGGGGGCTATCATATCAGAAAAGGAAATAGACAGCTCAAGTGTGAAAAAGGTCAATGGAAGACAGGTAAGACGTGTCAACTATGGTGAATGGTTGTCCCACCCTGACGGCTGACTGACCATTATCATGAATCAGATTAAGAACTTTGCACGCACAGGCATGGAATTTGCTTCATAGAAAAAAGAGCCGCTTTCTCTTAAACATCTGAAGATCGCTATCGAAGCCGGTGAAGCGTTCGAGATTGACTACCTGGGATTTGGACCGACTTAGAGCTTGAGGAGTTATACGTAGGTGGATCTGGATCTGAGTCGCCATGACTTTTAGACAGGGACTTTGGCAAATTTCATGTCGAGTTCATTAGGTACTCTTGTTGACTTGGGCACTATGTGCTGTTCAGAAGGTGAAAACTGGTGCCATTGAACAGATACGTAGTGGGGCCTTCGTGGAGGTAAGTGATATACTATATGTGGACACAGGATCATATTGAGATGTCCCTTGGGTGCAAAGGATCCCCTTTGGCACGGTTTCTGGGATTAGGGAATGGATTGTGCTGTGAGCATAACCATCCGATTGGAAGAAATGCGGATTTGTTAGAGCGTCAACGCGATTCCTTGCTTTTTCTGACTCTACTTGAAACGGTTGCTGTCGCCACTACTGTAAAAGCTATGCTCGCCAGGCTGGAGTGACACTTTTGCGGGCTGGTAAAGTCGCATATAATTGACACGCAAGACATCTCTGGCCGCATAGTGACATAGCTTTCATTGTCGTATCGTCTGAGCACCAAGGTACGAAGTTCCAACAATTCGAGAGCTTTTACCAAATTCCTCACTAACCCAGAAATCCCTCAGGCACGCTATCTCCTCATCTCCTGACCCATCTCCTGATTAAGCCCCGCGATCTTCGGTTGCTCTACCATCGCTGTCACCCGATTGACTCCTAAATCGCTCTCTATGAGGATGCGATGGCTTCACAATCCGAAATACTGCTTCCTCGAGACCTCTCCAGTCTTCCTTTCATTAACGCAGGCGTAACGAGTGTGGTCCGCGCCCTTGATGAGCATTCTGTCATAAAATTAGCGGGTGACGAAGATAGTCTTCGTGCACTTGAGGTTGAACGCAGAATTCTTGAACGACTAGGTGAACATCCTCGCATCGTCAGACTATTATATGTTCACGAGACAAAGCTTGTCCTCGAGCGTCTTCTATATCCTCTTCTTGTGCGACTTTTAGAGCTGCGAGATCAAGAAGCCGCCCCGTCCACGGAGGAGATTTTGAAATGGTCCGCCCAAGCCGCCGAGGGTATGGAATACTTCCACGGAAAGAATGTACTTCAAATTGATATTGGTTCCCACAATTTACTTCTTGACTGGGATGAGAACATCAAGTATTGTGATTTCTCGGGGAGCTGCATCGATGGTGGCTGGACCTATGCTGCTCCTAGTACACGCGCACAGCATCCTTCTATCTCGCCCAAGTCACCTTCAGTACAGTCGGAAATCTTTGCACTCGGCTCTGTTTTGTACGAAATCTCAACAGCTCGAAGGGTATACGAGGACTCGGAGGAATGGGAATTCGAACGCCATTTTACTCAAGGCGAGTATCCCGAGACGCAACACTTGTTACTCGGTCATGTCATTTCTAAGTGTTGGTCTGGAGGATATAATAATGCTGGTCAGGTCGCTGCGGAGATTCGGGCAATTCAACGACGATTCAAGTATGGTGATCTCAATCTACCACTTGGGCACTATGTATATGCGGAAACAGAAGGAGAGCCGCCGGCTTCGTCGAGGTAAGTCGATATTACCGATGGTCCAAAGTCCACTCATTCTCGCGTCAGCCCACTAGTTGTCACCGTGTACTCGATTCAGAACATCTCGACCTTTACTTCACTCGCATCCCTCATTATCTGCTCGGCGTGTGGCCAACAACTATCGCTAGAATACAATGGATTTGGCAGAGCGTAATGGATATCTTCCCTGGAAGCTAGGAAAACCTCAATAAAGTCGATCCGAGAAAAGACACTCTGCCAATTCCGCTGATAGGTCTCGTTTTGAAGTTGGCGACAGGTCTTGTTCAGCCCGACTCTTGGTCAATTTTCATAGCGCTATCCCCCACAATTGCCAGCATAACGAGGCGACTAGTCATGAGGAGGCATCGCGATGGGAAGCTAACAATAATCATGGATTTGACTGGATTCTGGCACGAAGGACAATCACCCGCGTGTTTTGAGGTGCCAAACGTGCCTAGGTCCGTCCTGCTCGCGTGCTCATCATCGCAATGACGCAGTGTGGTTCGGTTCTGGGGTCGAGTGCAGCGGGCCGTAGTGTCTCAGAGTCAACTGGTGTTTCGGAATAGCTGTGCAGCGAGTAGAAGTCACGGGGAACTCGGTGTACGTACACATCGTCGATGATATTGCTACTTCTGTTGCTAATCAAGGAGCAGGTTTCAGGAGGATTAGAAGGCTTCGGTAGGCTATCTCTGGTTCATGCGGAGGGCAGGATTATGTAGCTCTCAACCCTCTAATAGTGTCTGGCAAGCACACGCCAAAGTCCACCCACGAATAAACTAGTGCAGAGCCAACGCATTCGCTTTTCTGTCGACTCGACCCTGGGAATCGGCAACATGAATGTAGGCGGGCTGACTGGTACCAGAGCTATCTGGCTGCCAGACGTATAATCATGCATCATTTCGCGCCCTGTTTGTATGATTCCCTAAAAAACTGCGGTAGAAGCCAATGTAGAAGCCGGAAATAACTAGTACCGGACCCGGCGCTATATCACAAAATGGCGTATTGAACGTTCCTCACCTTTGTGCCTTCGAACCAAAAGAGCAATCTGATATGCTACGTCAGATTGAGGCGGATGATGATTCACCTGACTGGATACATGACCACGGCCAAAAGATGAGCGTGGATCTCACCATCATTGAGGGAAGTGTCAACAAGCAAGTACCCAAGCAGGACATTTTATTGTCGAGACTGCAAACTGTAATGTACAATTCCCCTTTTCTCCGAAATGTTGCTAGAATCTGACACGTTCCTCACAGCCTCTACAGACCAAGGTAAGTCCTGTAGAGCGAACCACCTTAGCGCAAATAAGAGTACTGCTTTCTGCTTGCGGTCAGGCTCTCATGGTTCTTGAATTCCAATATAAAGTATAGCCAAAACATTGGAAGCAGTCTGAACGGTCTTCATCTTGCCGCATACTTCGGACTAAGATCTTCCGTGGAATCAACACCGAGAGTCGCTTTCCCACAAAGTCATAAGAGGGACAAAGCCGAAGCAGATGTGAGGGATGAAAATGATTGGACACCACTGTCATGGGCAGCATATCGAGGACACGGAGCGGTGGTGGAGCTGCTGGTGGAACGAGATGATGTCGAGGCAGATTCAAAGGATGAGAATGGTCTGACACCACTGTCACAGGCAGTAGAATGAGGATGTAAAGCCTCAGGGTTGCTACTGGACATCGCTAGTGTGGACAGTAGGATCGAGGATCCGCGCGGCCTAACAGCTCTTCAGCTAGCGACATTCACCAGCAATGAAAATATTGAATCCGAGAGTTGAAATAGGACTAGATTTTGTTGGTCTGCAGACTTTATTTAAGAGAGCCGGGCTTCACTCAGTATTCGATCTGACGGAAATCTTGCTGGACTCCCCAAAAGAGAAATGTTTCCACGAGAACTTAACGAGTTATATTATAAGCCGGCGTGGGCTCCCTAGGCTCTGATAGCCGCAGCCTTGGCCGTAGGCTAGTGGCACTCTTGCCGATAAGGCGTAGTATCTAGTATATCCTCTAAGAATATAAATGATATTACGGTAGAAAAAACACCGGAGTTGAACCTAGACGCTTATTGAGGCGGTATAGTGTATGCTAAAAGCGGCGCCTAGGGCGGCCACTTTTGGCGGCTATTTCTCCTACATCCAGAGGTACTCCGTATGCTACGTCATGCACGCAGCGTCCAGCCTGGCATGGACGTACATAGTTAAATTGAACAGTCAAGGCACGATTGCTCTATGAATGGGACGCATTCGTCTTCTGACTAAAGCGTGTTATCCCATTAATGATAAGCAGCAAAAGCGAGTAACAGACTCGTCGAGACGGGCCATTGTAGTATTCCTGGAGTATCAAGGCACCCAAGTGGGTTAGGGCTCCCCGGTGGTTCGCTTTGGATGCGAGCCTCCCGCGCGGCCCCGGGATAGCGATCACTCCTCATTCCTCTCCTCCCTCTGTGTACTAAACATCCTGGTCGGCGCATAGGCGCAGCTGGGTATAAACACCTTCCGAATCGCGGCATATATCGTGCCTGTTGCTGCTGATCAGACCTCGATGAGTGTCAGATCGCAGCAAACCGAGCTCGCATCGTCTCCACCCTGGGTTCTCTCCTCTGCCAGTGTAATACCAGCCTGACCGACGACCTTTCCTGAGCACTGGGTGCATGTGATAGACACGAGCATAGCCCTCTAATTCATACATCACCTCGTCTACTAGACGCGTCTGTTGCCTTCGATCCTGCGCCGGCGCTTCGAAAAGCCATGATACTGAGGGTTGCCTACCACGATCCACGCAGCCTCTATACCCCTACGATCCGATGTTGATGTCTAGCCACGATCCGACGCGCCGCATTCTCAACTGCCATTCGCTCACAATCATACAACTAGACTACGATAACGACCGAAATGATATCTGACGAGCAATACGACCTTTGTCGTCCAATATTGGACGACGCTTCAATAGAAGAAGAAGATAAAACAGAACGCTTGGAGGAGCTGCTCAGCAAGGAGGCTGGACTGAGCGGACGTGCCCTGGAAAATGCTGTTCTAGATGCATTGTGGAAACACCGAAATGCTCAGCGCGGCGAAGTTTCAGAGACTCCCGCACGACACCAGGTCATTCGAAAGTCATCCCCGGCTCCATGGCAGGCCAACAGAGCACCTACACCTCTAAGTTCTCTACCTCCCCTCTCGTCAAGTCCTGCCCTTTCAGCTGGCTTCCCGGTATCGCGTCCCAGCTTCTCCCGTCAGAGGTCAAGCGCCCCGTCGCCTTTCGTCTCCCCCCGACCCTCGCCGCGTCTCGCATTAGCACAGCCGATACCCCATAGCCCTAGCCTGAATGCCTACGAATTCTCCGATGCTAGCCCTACACCGGACTTTTATGGAGATTATGGCCATGAGAATGTGGACTGGCTGTTGTCCGACGACACAGCCAGCAACACGTCTTCGACGACTGCTCCTGGACATCTGAGCGCTTCAGCGCCTGAGTGGGTCCCACAACCGGATATGAGTCCATATGACATTCTGCGGTCAGTGTTGGGGGACCGGAAGACCGATGAGGAGATCGAGGATGCTCTTAATAAACACTCCTATGACCTCGGTTCCACAATCGCCGCTTTACTAGGAACGGATGCCGCTGACACGCAGTTTACACCGGCATCAAGCAATGAATCAAAGGTTGTCGTCGGCAAGTCAATGACAATGAATCAGGCTCGCCCTTCCACACCGAGTACTTCGAAGAGTACGATCGTCTGCAAATACTGGCTGGCATCTGGCTCATGTCTACGGGCTGACTGCAGGTTTGCCCATGACACAAGTGGTTATCTTTGCAAGTAAGGCTAAATTGACATGGGAGCTTTTCATATACTGACAATATGCACCAGGTACTGGATGAATGGGAACTGTCTGGCAGGAGATGCGTGCCAATTCTCTCACGACCCGGCTCTTCTGATCAATCATCTTTCGGTTGGCGAAACCAATGCTTCACAAAACTTCCAACTCCAAGATCAGCAAGACCAGTTTCCGAGCCTGTCGAGCCAGAGTGCCAGGAGCGCCCTTCAAGCTGGTCTAGCAGCAGGTAATGTTTTCGTGCCTAGTAGTCAGAAAGGCCGCGGTGGTGTGGGCAACCTCGCTCCTGGACCGCGAACAAATTCCAGGCCCACCTCTCGACATCAAAATCGCCCCGAGTCATCATCGTCCCTGTCAATGGACGATCCCGAGGCGTTCCCGAGTCTAGGAGCTCTGACCGCCAAGCGAGGAGGGAAATACCCTGGCTCTCGTTCAAGGTACGGAGCCGGCAGCGGGGAGACTCAGGGGCCCTCGTCGCTTGCAGACGTCGTGCGAATGTCACCATCTATAAGTCCTACTCAACCACGGAGGGTGGACCCGACGCGGAGAATCCGAACATATGCCAGTTCCGAGAGTGCGGCGGCTCGCAGAATCCCGGAACCGCAGCACCTTCCATGGCTAGAGACCGGTGCTCGTGCTAACCAGCAATACATGAAATTCCGCCAGGAAGCCATCAAGCATGGAAGCATACGCAACAAATTCCTACAAAGGTGAGGAATCTCCAGGCAATCAGCAGACAGACCTTGAAGTCAATGGCTAACATGTGATGCAAAGTGCCGCTCAAGCCTGGAACCGCAACGATGCGCGAGCAGCGAAGGCACTATCTCTTCGTGGCCAGGCTGAGAACGATGCAATGAGGAAAGCTCATCGAGAGGCAGCAAGGGCGCTGTATGACGAACGGAACCAACACCTTTCGGCCCCTATGGACGAGAACGAAGAGATGTACATCGACCTCCATGGTCTCCACCCGGAGGAGGCCATCGAGTATCTGGAAAATATCCTCCTTGCGCAATCTCGACGTGGAAGAAGAATCGTATACGCCATCACCGGCACGGGTCACCATAGCAAAAACGGCAAAGACAAGGTTGGCAAAGGTGTGCGCAACTGGCTGACCGAGTGGGGCTACACTTTCCGCGAGTTCAGTGTTCCCGGCGAGCGCGGTGGCTACATCGGTGGTGTGCTAGGGATTGATATCACGAGTCACAGACGGCAGCCCGTCTCTGCGGAGGAGATTGGTTCGAGGGAGGAGGAAGAGCCGTCTCCCAAACCAACCGCAACAACTTCGGTAGGCAGCAAGATCCAAGTGCTCAAACGCGCGGAGGTACCGGCGTAAAAGCAGTGGCCATAAAAAAAGGTTATCATGGCTCATTCTCCGCCGTGGGTTAGAATATGCAATACACAGATCGTGTCAGCAGTGTGGAACAAAAGTTCTTCCAAGATTAGTGACAACAGCAGAGCTCGTAAAGTCTGATAGAGGTTCGCTGGAAAGGCGACGGATAAGGGTATCCCAGAAATCAAGTTGAAAACTCGCTAATAAGTCATGGAGAGAAGGTTCAATCGTTCGTTTGCCGAAGTGCTGGGAAATTCTCGGTTAAGGAAAAATATATTCAAAGTCGGGGCCGCGATGTCGAACCGTGATCGAACGGGGGATTCGACTAATTGAATGCTGTGCAAGTTTGCGCTTGAGTTACGGGAAGAGACATCACCGCAGCAATAAAATATCGTCCATTCCGCACACCTATCCATTCATCCTCGCACATTCTGTGAGACGAGTTGGTTGTAAGCGCACGTTCGAGTTCGAGTTCAATTGTGAACACGGTGACGAGCACATGGCACGACCAATCAGAGCCGGCGACACTGGCACCACTGCAGTACCCATCGCTTTGGGCAACATCAACATCATGAACTTGAATTCACGTCGACTTTGGATCCGAGTTGGCTCATGTTCGAATTGTTCACGTTCCAGTTTGTGCTGGTTGTGCGCTTCAACACCGCATCCAACTGGTGATTCATGTCAATCACCTCCGTCGCACCGAGGCGAGATCTTCGTCCATGGCCCACTCATAACCCCCTGAACCACTCTTGATATTCCCCGGCGCTTAGCCCGCATCGTTGAATGGCGGACCCTGCTGGCGACCATGCAGTCGACGGTGAGTCGGATGTGCTGCTTGACCAGCTTCCGTCAGTCTAGGGCCCAGCAACCCCCGGAGCCTTACCAGTCCAGCCACCGCTCAAGTCCATCGTTCCAACCAGGTAAACCTCCTCCCCGCCAGCGGGCTGGTCCAACCCCTGTTGTCGGGTATGATTTGTTCCTCGTGTTGCTTCATGCACATGGGGATTCGCACCGTTCACGTCTTCACCTCTTGACCTGTACCAATCATGGACCATGACCACCACGCGCCGTTGCCGCCTGCAGCAATCATGTCCAGGTACATCTACCGCCGAAAGCACCCTTTTGTGCTGTGCCACGAGCTGCTTCATGTTATTCTCTCCGGCAGAGGCCCCCTGAAGGGGCTGAAAGCAGTTTCAGGCATCGCAGCATCGCATGGGCGGTGTTGTTGAGCTGCCTACAAAGATGAGGTGTCGGTGCTCGACTTGGATTTGGTTCAAGTTGTTCATCTTCTTCGTCCTCTACGGCCTGCCCTCCGTTATCATCGCACAACCTCACAAGAGTAGTATCTGGAACGTCGACATCCTCACGGACCCCGCCCCTCCGCCTGATAAGGGGCCTCCACTATCTGCCGGCGCCCTGCGAGACAAGTCAAAGCTCAAGTACGAAATCATCGGCATCGTCGGCTCATATCTCGCCTGGCTCTCGCTCACCGTCGTGCTTCTTGTTCTGGTCGGCAACAGACTTCGGCGCCGCACCCAGACGTCCAATCGAAGTTTAAGCATGGAGATCATCCGACCGAGCCATCCACTTTTGGACCGGACCCCAATGTCCGCCAGTACCGCCGCGACGGATCTGGGACCGTTGCCCTCGCCCCTAAAGAGCCCACGGTCCGGCAAGATGGCCAGCTTGAGGTCGTGGGCCAGAGGCGGTCCAGGACCAACAACAGCCCACAGCCGGAATCCGTCCAATATGAGTGCCGGCGTCGCTTCGACCGTTGACGAACGGATCCTCGAAGCCGACAAGGCTCGAAACATGGACGATTTGACCAAGTTGTATGCCGCCGTCATGGCCCACGACGATGAACAACAGTCGCGCAAAGCCTCCATGACCACTGCCAGCAACTACAGTGCCCGAACCTCGCCTAGATCCCCCCAATTTTCTGTTTCTCATCAGGCCCATGCTCCGCTCGCCAGTCCTGTATCTACTTACTGTTATCCTCCTTCCACCCCAAGATCTCCTCCTTATACTCCTCGGGTCCATCATGGTGGGCCCATGTCGCCGCAAACCCCAAATTACACTCAACAGTATTATCAGCACCAACTGCAGCAGCCACAATCGCCAGCAGCCTACTCTGCACACACGATTGACTCGCCCGCGGCAAGCCCTTTGTTCCACCCCTTGGCACCGACACCCATAGTCGAGCAGGACGAAGAAGACAACCAGGACTCCTTCATCCCGTCCCGCACCAACAGCAGCAGTCGGAAACCCGGTCGGATCTCTTCCGCTCTGGCCCTTCTGCCGGGCCGCTCATCTACTTCTGATCAGTTGGCCTACAAGACCACCACCGGCATCGACAACAACACCAAAAGCAAGAAACGGCCCAGCGCCATCTCGGTCCGCGGCCAGCCCATCTCGCAGCCTCTACGCTCAACTGACTCGCAGGGGTCCAACTACCTCGTCGCCATGGGCTCCAGTCACTCCACGCGGGTATACGACAACCCGAGTCGGCCGCCGGTGCCGCCGAGCCAGAAGTCGGCTACTGTCTCTACCACAGCAGCGCAGGAAATGGGCAAGGGTCCTGCTGCTAACAATACTGTTCGCAATGGCGGGGTAGATGGGACCCCAGATCGCGATCCCGCGGCAGCGTCAAGTGTCCGTACCGAGGAAGCAAGTCCCACATCATACAGCCTCCCATTTCGGCAATTCTACAGCAACGGATCGCTGAAAAGCGCCCCGCCCACCAAGACGACATTTGTCGATCGCCGTGAAAGCATGCTGGGCACGCACCCCAAGACCGGCGTGCCTCAAACCCCGTACAGCCCTTACATGCCCTACACGCCCATGACGCCGGTGACCCCCCGCACGCTGGTGACCAAGAAGGAAATGAAGAAGAACCGTAAGAAGGAAGGTCTGAAAGTCCTCAGTGAGGATGATATGGTCATGAGTGATGAAGACATGTGGGGGGAGATGAAATGATGTGCCAGTTCCGGGTTTTGCTTTTGCTCATGTCAGGGTATTTCACTTTTGAGGCTGTAGTTTGTGGTTGAGGTTTGTGTTGTTGATTGTCTCATATCTCACTGTGGCACCTTTATTGCAGCCGCTTTGGATGGAGTGTGGTCCTGGCTGGGCTGCCACTGGCACTGCCTGGCAATCTCTTAGATCCAGATGGCCTTCTCCATCCCACGAATTCAAAGAGAGACGGCCAGACCGACATCAATTAGTGGTATGAAAAGCGCCCTTCCATTTGCAGATCTAGTCGTCCGCATCCGTCTCTCCTTCTATCTTGCAATACAAGTACTGCGACCTGGAGTTGTAGAACTATTCAAAGATATTTGAAAGTATGAAAGTACCTGGCTAAACTTCTTGAAATGCAATGGCTCACGAGTATTACAACTTGAATGCCGAGTCTTGAGCACGCCGAAGACTGGTGACAAGGCTGAGGCGGAGGGTCCGTAGCCTTGTCACCTGGCTCGGAGAACTTGAACCCCACACCGGCACTGCATACTAGGAACACATGCATTGACACGATCCTTACACACCGGCATGACATACTGCAAAGGCACACATCAATACTAGTAGACCACCACCACGACTACTACTATTGTCGGTCTTTCATGTTTCCGCAATAGCAGCACTCCTCACCCAAACATCGACCATGATCAACGCAATACTCGTGTTCAACAACAACGGTCAACCCCGGTTGACCAAGTTCTACTCTCAGTTGGTACAGACACTCCCTCCCACTCTCTCTTCCCCCGAAGTTCTTACCGGACCAGCCTAACATTGTCGAACTAGGACACCGCAACGCAGCAATCACTACTCTCCCAGATCTTCACACTTGTATCAGCGCGGCCCGCGTCGGCATGCAACTTCCTCCCTCTGCCTCCACTGCTCGCACCCAGCGCAAACAGCTCGTCACCCGATGCGCCCACCCAAATCACGTACCGTCACTACGCGACGCTGTACTTCATCCTCATATCGACCTCGACCGAGTCGCCGCTGGCTCTACTGGATTTCATCCAGGTTTTTGTCGAGGCGCTGGACCGTCTATTCGAAAATGTGTGTGAATTGGATTTGATTTTTGGATTCGAAACACTTCACGCTGTTCTGAGCGAGATGGTCGTGGGAGGCGTGGTGGTGGAAACGAACTTGGACAAGATCGTCGAGGGGGTCAAAATCAGTGAAGGGGGCAGAACGAAGCGGAAAGCTGTCAATGCTCGCGACTCCCACAGTGGTATAGGAAGAGGAGCTGCCGGGTTTGCGGGGTTAGGCTGGACTACGGGGACGGGGAGTAGTTGGAGATGAAGAAAGAAACAGAAAGACTTGGATACAGCAAACGACAAACGAATGCGCGCACGCAGGTATCTGGAGGGAGCCAACAGGTGAACTGGAATCCGGAGACAACAAACGATATGCGCGGGTGACCCAGTGGGTTGCTATAACAAGTCCTTGCTGCTGCAGCAGAGTCAAGAGTGGTTGTACCCCTGCCACGCAATGCGCCGACGCTTTTTATGGGCACTCCACACATTCATACTGGAGGTGCAGATGGCATTGCCATGCCGTGGGACCACTATTCGAGTCGGAGGGTTGTACGCGTCGTTGACACCGCTACATGCCGCCGAACACTGCCACTCCCCCTGCCACTACAACTGGTGCAGGGCTGAGGGAACATCTTCAGTCAATCAACTGGGGCTCAAGCCGAAGAAAGGTTCACGCTATTCATAAGGCTGGCCGTGGCTATCCTACAGCGCTCCATGGCTTACAGGAAGTCGTCCATTCTTCTCCGATCATCGAGTGTCGTACTGGCAATGCGAAAGTTTGTTGATGGCGGTTCCCAGGCCGGGGCCGCAGCCTATTTCAACTTATGTCACTGGCAGATATCTGCGTTGAGCGCCACTGCAGCACTCCCTATCTCGAAGGATGCCAGCCTTGACCAGCCAGTGAGAAGACTGTAAAGGCTGAAGGATATCTTAGTTACCTGGGCTACTAGTACTGTATGTAGCATACTACAGTAACCGGTAACCGGTAACATTTGGGGAAAGAAGAAGGGACTGTTATTGTCCTCCAAACCCCCAACGAGAACATGAACATTTTTCGACAATCCCCAATCTTTCTTTCTTTTTGACTTTTCTAGAATCTAGAATCTAGAATCCCTCTTGATGCCAGTCAGACAGACAAATGGGTCCACGCATCCACGGCCACGTACACCAGGGCATCTATCATCTATGCATCCACCTTCCACCTAATCTGCTTCTGCTTTTGCTTTTGCCGATCCGAGCTGAAGCATCTACCACGCCGGAATCTCAAATTTCTTCAGCTACGGGTGTCAAGGTCAAAATCAACCCTCGATATTCTCAAACAAGAACGTCGGCTGGCCGGGCACGGCATGCTCGGCCATAGGTGCGAGTGTCCCCTTATTCTCCTCCGTGACAGTGGTGATAATGACCTCCTTACAGCCCGTCGTCTTAATCAACCCCTTTTTCATCTCATTGAGGATCTGAACTTCATCAAACGGCAACTTGCGCTCAAACACGGCGGCCGGACTCTCCTTGTTAACCACCAATCTCTTTTTAAGAGTCTGCACGAACGGCATGGCCTTCTTCATTTCGGGCCCCTTTCCAATCTTCGCAACTTGGCCATTGAGGGCCTTGTCGTCATTCAGGGTCGCTTTTTCAAAGGCCTCCCGGACCAAGTCGACATACTTGTCCTGCCAGGCGGGAAAACTGGTTGCGACAAAGATGGTGATGCGTTTCGGTTTGCGCGGGTCAAATGCCGCGGCTTTGCCCTTTGCCATTCGTTTCGCTGTCTGCGCTTCCGCCGATGTGATGTTGCTTGAAGTTCCCTTGACGTACTCTCGCGCCGCAGTGAGGGATGGGTTCGACTCTGGAACTTCGGGCCATCGTGCCAGTTGGATCGATTGGGGCTTTTGAAGGACTTCGAGCCACATGTATTCGGCCCAGTGGGGCGCTACGGTTGCAATGACCAAGGATTGAAGTTCCACGTATCGTTTTATGAGAGGTCGTGACATTGCGGTGCCGCTGGACAGACATGCTTCGCGGTAGAAATCCCGGGCGGACTGGAAGTCGTAGAGAGAAGATTTGAGTGCGAGCTTGTAGTTGGTCCTAGAATATACAAGTCAGTGTCGGTGATGAATAAAGTAGGAACAAGGATACAGAAACTTACTCAGAGTAATGCTGGAACGCTTCATGGACGAGCAAATTCATCTCGTCAGCAAACAGTTGATCCCAAATCGACTCACCCTCGGTCTCGCGCAGATTCGGGTCCTTTAGTGTATCCTCGATCCACTCTTTCAAAGTGTACATGCGCATGATGGCGGCGTTTGCGCTCTTCTCTTCAAAGTTTGCATCTTCCATACCGTCGCCGGCGTCGGCCAGGGCAATCCGCGTGGCATCGGCACCAAACTTCTTGACGGCCTGACTTAAGGTCAAAAAGTTACCGGTCGATTTACTCATCTTGTCGCCGTTGAGCAACAAGTGGCCATTCGCCCGGATGGACTTGGGCCAGTATTCGCGCGGGAAAAGAGCAAGGTGGATGTACAAGAAAAACGTCAAATGGTTAGGGATCAGATCCTTGCCAGACGACCGCAGGTCCAACGGATACCAGTACTCGAACGACCGTCTCATGGACTGCAGATCCTCAACGGGGATCTTGGACGACTGCGAAACGCTGTCGACGTCGTTCGTCCGCGTAAACACATAGTCCCAGACATCGTCGGTCATCTGCTCAGGTTTGATGTTCAGCAGGCCTGGGGTCTTGCCGAACTTGTCGCCGTGCAGGAAATGGGCGATCGTGTAGTATGACATGTAGATGGTGCTGTCGCTTAAACTCTCCACGAGGAACTTGGGATCCCAAGGCAATTTAGAACCCAAACCGTAGGTCCTGGCGCAGGCCCATTGATTGAGCCATTCCAGGTTTGCCACGAACTGGTTCTCGGTTTCCGGCGCATATGTCTCGAGCCCATTCGGATCCTTGACATAGTTCAAAACTGTCTGCTGCCACTCCTTGTCGTTGGGGCCGTAGTTGAGGAACCATTGAGGAACGAACGCCACCACACACTCGTCGGCGCTTCGACTGATGACCTCGGCCGATGGGTCTGCAAAAGGGAAAGCATCGCCGGACTTGAGCAATGCTTGCCGGACTTTCTCCTTGGCTTCAGACACCTTTTGGCCCTTGAACTCGCCCACCAGCATGGTGCCGTTGTAGAAACCTTCTTTGTACGCAAGCTCTTTGGCTTCAGCCAGCAACGTGGTATCCTTTGGTGACTGGATCTTTTTGGTTTCAACCAGATATTTAGCTGCGAGATTGCCGTAGGACGGCGTCTCGATCAAAGGCAGGATCTCCAATTCGGCCCACTCCTTTTTGATGCCGTAGAAATCAGCCTTCTTTGCCAGCTCTCTCACGGTTGCGTAGTCATCGGGACTGTCCGAAGGAACGCAGGTCACCACGCCAGTACCCTTTGTGGCCGAGACCGTCTCCATGGGCAGAATTCGTACGCCTTCTGTGTGTACCGACAAAGGAGCGTTCACCAACGTGCCCACAAATGCCGACCCGGGCAATTCCACGACCGGCTGCAATTCACTCTGGTCGCGAGGGAAGTGGTCTTCGTCAAAGAATTTGCCCTGGAAAGCCATGTTCCAAGCGGCTCTCTTGGTGACGACAAAATACTCCTTGTCCGAGACCTTGAAAATGCCGTAGTTGATTTTGGGTCCGACGAAACAACACGTTTGCCCGTACATGGTCTCGGGTCTCAACGTCGCCGGTACAAAGTACACATCCGCATCCTCGGGGACTTTCCCTTGGACCTCCTTGGCTGCCTCAGGTGACCATTCCTTGACTTTCAGTTTGATAGCCGTGTATTCGGTTGGGCCAACGCCTTCACCCTTGGTTCGGTCGTGGTCCATACACGGTTGGCCGTCTTTCGGGCTGTAGATGGTGTACCGCTTTCCGTACAAGATCTTGTTCATCTCATGGAGGCGGTTCATCTGCCAGCGCACAAATGCATCGTAGAACGGATTGGCATCAGTGGTCACAAACTTCCTCCTCCAGTCTATTCTGGCTCCGAAATCGATCAGGTCTTGTTCGCACAACGGCGGGAAGTACTCGAGCCAATAGTTGGCGTCGGCAAATTTGTGGATTTCCTCCTTGGGGATACCCATGGCCAACATGGTCTGGAATTGATAGTTGGCCTTGACCGTCTTGGCCGCCTGCTTGCCCTTTTTGCTCTTAAATTTTGTAATGTCGTCCTTGACGTTGACGTCTTGCGTCGGCGCAATGGGGACCCCGTTGGACTCTGTTATGGATTCGTCCTCGTCTTCATGGTAGTTTTCAAAGTTCTTGCCAAATCTCTTCACGTCCTCTACCAGTTTGTCGGCGCATGCCTTGATCGGCATCCCCGTGCAGTGGAACCCCAGAGGGAATAGAACCCGCTTGCCCTGCAGCCGGTTGAACCCCGCGGTGAATTCCACCTTGCTGATGGTGAAACTGTGTCCAGCATGGAGAGTACCGTTCATGTAAGGGTAGGCGAACGTGCCAAAGTACTTGGGGTGTTTGTCTCGAATGTCGGCGGCCGGGACCGAGTTGAAGGGGATTTCGGTGGTGGTTGGCGCGTCGGCCTCGAAGACTTTGTTCTTCTGCCATTCCTGCTGGTACTTTTTCTCAATTGCAATCAAGACATCCCGGTTGTGCGTCTGTGTGGGCGTCAGTTGCGGTTTAACATTGTTGTGCGCAGCAGACTCACATTTTCGAGCTTAAGAGTGTTGGCCGAGCTCACGCTGGGATCGACGGGAATCTGAGTCGCCATGATGGCGCAGCGGGATATGAAGTGCTCAGAGCTAGTGACTGAGGGCTCTGATCAAGGATGTGCCCTGGGGGGTGAGTCCTATGAGGTGGTGAAGGCTACCTTAGAAACACTGCATATCATGTTCGGATTTCTTGATATTTTGTCCGCAACCGCCGCTTTTGCGGTTTCGCACGTGGAGATGGCGATAAACTTTGAGTCACTTGCATCGCTGGCCAATTGTTGCCCGCCGAACGACGGTCCGATGACCCCGCATCACTGCTCGATTGGAACTAGGGGACTTTTCAATGCCATTTTACGTCGTTGTCCTGTACGTCTCCTCGACTCTAGTATTATTTGGACATGGCGCTGACTCGTCCGGCCTTATGTTCTGCCAAACCAGAAAAATCGTCAAGAGCAGATAGCTAATGGTGACAAATATCAACGTTCACGAACTACAAGCCAAAGCCGGACCGGACGATTCGGGCTCGCAACATCTTCGGAGATCCGACAAGCAAAAGTCTCCAATTGTTCAACATCTGTTGGTCATATTTCAGAGCATAGATCATCTCACATATGTCGTTTAAATCGTATGTAGAGGGCGGCGCAGTTCGCTCCACACAGTATCCGATCGTAAACTGTACAATTGTCATACCATCGACACCAACACTGTTGAAAGCTGTCATCCTCTAGATGGCTGGTCCTTCCCAAGATTCTCGGTCAAGCTTCATGATGGCAGATTGTTTATGCGGAAATGAGACTTCACCTTGTTTGTAAAAGCCGCAATCCTGTAGATACTTGATAAATCTGTACCATGGTTAGCACGACACGTTGACTCATCCTCCTCCCTGTCTTTCGGTGAGAGAATCTACTTACTTAGTATTATCCACCCTCGGCTCCAACATCACAGTTTCTGTGCGATAGTCGGCAAGGAAGCAGTAGTGGACGAGGGCGGACAGCCAAACTTTGACACGGTGAGGCCCACGGAACTCGGGTTCGCCCACCAAGACGTGTAAGCCCCTGGTATAGTTGCCGACATCCCCTCCCAGCAGACGGCCCAGTTTATCTTCTTTGACCCAATACACCTCAAAGTAGCCGAAAGGTTTGCCGTCCCAGCAGCCATAGACCGGAAACGAATGCCGGCTTTTCAGGCCATCCTCAAGAAACTTTCGTTGAGTGGATGCTGGTCCTGCCGCTCCCCATGCAAGGTTTACCCGAGGGTCGTTCATCCACTTATGCAGCAAATCCAGATCGGGCGGCCGTTCTGCGAAGTTTGCCAACGTGGGCAAGGTCGCCACTGAGACCCCTCCTCCGTGACTCGGCATCGTGGCTGGCATGGAACCTCCCAAGGGCGTAGAATGCGGGTGTGGACACGGTTTGGGCGACAGCGTAGGCACTCGAAACGAAAGCCACTGTTGAAGACTGGGAATGTAGCGACTGTAGAACGTCTCACCTTGTCGTGGGGGTTTCGGCCGGATCGGATGTCGTATATGGTTGGTGAAGGTGTACTGGGTCGGTGGAGGAGGGTAGAATGTGGGCAAGTGGCTCCCGGATTGGAAAGGCCCTCCTGGGGACGAAGTTACCGCTGACAAGCCATCGACCATACTGCCTGTTACGGCCACCATAAAGTCTGTTGGACGCGGAGAGTTCCGCTGCTCTGAGGGCCTTTCGGGCGAGGCAGGACGTGAATGATGTGGCGAGCCGCCGGTCGGGAAGGGCGAGTGTTGTTGAGGTGCCATGGTATAGAGGAAAACACGGGGATCAATCTGCCAGAAAGACCTTTTGCTGACAAACATTTCGTTCCAGCCGGTGGGCAACCGGACATCTGTATCTGTCCCCACAGATGAATCCTCGCTGGCGATAAGCCCCATGCGCTCGAGCTTCTGAATGGTGTTTTTGCCCTTGAAGATACCTTCTCGCTTGATCCAGACGCGCCACTCCAGTTTGGGTCGGCCGCTTTCCGGCGTCAGCGCACACGCTTCGGTGTATGCGTGAGGGTCTGGCTGCTCCTTGTGAAAGTACCAGCAGAGAGTCGCCCAAAGCATCATTGCAATATGCCTGGTGGGAGAGGCGGTGTTTCGGAAATCCGAGCTGGCAGGCATGGATATGGACGAGATGAACAGCGAGTCGCTCTGGATCGTTGGTTTGGTGAACCGGTGTGCGACGATGTGTTTTCCGTCCGTTTCCTCCTGGACCGGCTGCAGTTTCGGACGCTGTTCTGATCCTTCAGCCACAGACACTTTGCTTTTCCTTGCTTCGGGTAAATCCTCCACCTCGTCCTCTGTTTGTATGATCACGGTCCATCCCGGCGGCATAGGCGAGTGGTGCAAGTCGAGATTCGTCGATTTGAATGTGAAGCCGCCAAATACCGGCGTCACGGTGTAGATCTGCCCATTGGGCAGACACACCTGCTGTACCATACTTTATATTCGGGGCATTGAGGACAATGCACCAAGGGTGTCGGCCAGGACGGACGACTCGTGGAAGCGACAGGAGTGTGATTGCGATCTGACGACTCGGGCTGCCAGGTAGCTCTTGACCCTAGGCCAGTGCGGTATCCTCTTGGGCACGAACACCCACAACAACGGGTCGTGGGCGGTGTTTCTTTACAAACTGCGGAACTCGGTCACCGTGAACAAAGATGGATATATTCCAGGGCTCGACCGACTGTGACAATGGAACGGCGGGGAAAATTGTTTATGATAATCAAGAATGTCCCACTGCAAGGTTTTCCCGTCCAGCACCCGCGCGCGTCTGGTTCCTCCGATGCTTCAAGCGGGTGCGGTAGAGGACGAAACCCTCATGCCACCGCAGTGTACTATTATGTAGTAGTGGTAATCAAAAGGCCCGTGGTAGGTGCGGGCTTCTCTGTCGCTCCCACGCTGCCAGTGGCAGTGGCAGTGGCAGTGGGCGGGGCAGAACAATCCAAACCTTAAAATGCCAAGGTATGCACCCCGAATCTGGGGACAGGGTGATGCCGCCCTTACCAGGCTTTCTCCAGCCTGAGATGTGCATCAGTCTTAATTTGTTAACCTTAGTAAACCCTTATTTGCCGCCCTTGTGTACTTGGATATTGTACCTAACTACCAGGCAGTAAGCATGTTGTTATAAGCCCTCCGACCGGGATCATGAGAAGAGCTGCTTTTGTTGGTTGCATGCCAGTGCTTGTCGCTGGGTATGGGAGAAGCGCTTTCGACTTGACATGGGTTTACTTATGGTGGCCTTCCGATCGGTAAGGAGAGAGACTAAAAGAAAACACCACTAAAGCCCAACTACACCCACTCCAGGTACCACAAGAACTCAACTTACTCTTCGAACATAAGTTCGGCTTGCCTGCTGTGAAATTTGTCTCTTTCCGGTTTCTTCCCAGCCGGGGGATTTCAATGAGGTCCAAAGTACCGTTCCTGCGTGCTCTTCGACACAGACCTTGGCCTCGTTCATCAGTGGTTGCCCCTCGGTTAGACCAGTCTCAACCGGTTGAAGAACAAAACTCGCCGTACTATGACCCTCAACATTTCTATGCAGCCCGCATAGGAGATGTCCTTAACGAACGGTATCAGTTAGCGACGAAACTTGGTCATGGAAGCCGCTCCACAGTCTGGCTTGCGCGGGATCTTAAACAGTCTGTGATGTGAGCGACACTAAGCTGGATTGTGCTTTCTAATTCATCGATAGGTGGAAGTGGCTCACAGAGCGATACGTTGCAATCAAGATCAAAGCGATCATTCCAAGTCCAGCACATGAGGCCGCAGACGGGGAGCTAAACATCCTAAGGCAAATCGCCCAAACAAACCGAAGACACCCGGGTTGGGTATTCGTCAGACGAATGCTGGACACATTTACGACACCGGGACAGTGTGGAAATCATACATGTTTGGTATTTGAGCCCCTACGGGAGCCACTATGGCTCTACCAAAGGCGGTTTATCGACGATGTGATACCATTGTCGAGGATCAAAATCATTCTCCAAATGGTGCTACTGGGACTTGACTATCTACACTCGGAGTGTCATATTATTCATACTGGTATGTCTTCTCACCGACAACGAATTTCTGTGCATGCTGATACTAAAACAGCTCATTAGATTTAAAGCCCGATAACATCATGGTGAAGCTGGAAGATCCTTCGATCTTGGAGCGAGACGCAGAGGACGAATTCAAGCATCCACTTCCGCAGAAGCACTGCGAAGACGGTCGAGTGATATATCTTGCTCGAAATGACTACGGGCAATTCCGACGGCCTGTCGGTGTAATCCGGATCACTGATTTGGATCTGGCGGTCTCTGGCGACATTTTACGCAAAGGGTGTATTCAGGCTGAGCTCTATCGCGCCCCAGAAGTCATTCTCGATGTCGGGTACAGTTACAGTGCGGACATCTGGAGTTTGGGAGTCATGGTGAGTGTCAAGCTCTAATTTTTCACACAACCACTTCGCTAACCGCTTACAGCTGTGGGATCTGATTGAAGGGAGCCCGCTGTTCAAAGTGGATGTTCCCGAACGAGTTTACGAATACGACGACCAACAGCATCTCGGAATGATAACGGCGTTGTTGGGGGATTCTCCGCAGAGCCTTCTCAAACAAGGGGATAGAACCTCTCTGTTCTACAATGTAGAAGGTATGCGTGCTAATGCAATCTATCCGGAATCTGAGAGCTCACAAGCTAGGCCGTCTTCACAATCCCGATCTTATCCCAACTAGCTTCAACTTCGAGACCACTATCTCCAATGTCAGCGGTGAAGAGAAGAAAATGTTTATCAACTTTGTTCAGAAGATGATCCGGTGGTTGCCAAGTGAACGAAGCACGGCGAATGAACTCTTGAAAGACCCATGGCTAGAGCTCGATAGACATTAGCAAGATATCGTTGAGGGGGTATGTTTGAGCCCAAACCCGCATGAGACTACATTCACAGCGACGAGGCGCACGGGATGGGGTATGGGAGTCCTTTCAGGGTATTACCTTGCAGTATTATAAATCAATGAGAACGGTAACCTACTGCGTCAGCTGTAAACGGTTTCTGCTTCGCTTGTATTGTCAAGATGTGGTCTATCAGCTCGTGGTCCAACCCCCCGATCGGGCTGAAGATGATGCCGCTTTTGCTTGCTGCGCCGGGCTGGCCGACCTCCAACATTCTCCTTTACTACTATTCCCATCAATTCTGTACAACCCTCTTGAAAGCATGCCTCTCTCTTTCGAACCATCATCTGTTCAGGACAGGATGTAGTGACGACTACGAGTCCATTGTGGCTATGTCTAAACGGCACGTCCTCGTAGCCGACAAACCCAATGTTCACCATGCGGACATCGAGCACTCTGGTAGTCAGAGCACGTTCTTCCGGCGCTGGTTCGCCCTGATCGCGCTCAAGACCACCGCTCGTTTCTATCGGCATCATGGGCCTTGCTGTCCTATTTCCCGACATCTGATCGTTAAGACAAGTCCGTTCGTTGATCTTACAGAAGCAGCAACTATGAATTTCATCAAATGCCATACCTCCATTCCTGTGCCACGGGTATATTGTTCCTTTATCCATGATAATCAAGTCTACATTGTTATGGAACGAATCCGTGGGAAAACTCTGGCTGAAGCTTTTGGTTCTCTCGCGGAGGCAGATCTTACAAGTATTTGTACGCAGCTGTGGCAGATGCTGCTGGAGATGAGAAAGTTGTGCCCGCCAGGCCCCGGAGTTCAAAGTTGCACCGGTGGCTCTTTACGGGACTCGCGCAATCCCCGATCCAACCCTAGGTTTGGCCCGTTCAAAAGCATTCAGGAGTTTCATCTGTGGCTGCGTGAGGGTCTAAAGGCAGAGCAACCACCATGTCGACAAAACATTCAAGAATGGAGAGAAGTTCAAGATATGATCGCCATGCAGGACGAACCATATCCACCTCTTGTGTTCACACATGGAGATCTGAACCCGTTCAATATCCTGGTTCGCGGAGCTCAGGTGGTGGGGATTGTTGACTGGGAGTTCTCAGGGTGGTATCCACACTACTGGGAGTACACTTCTGCTTGGTGTGGAAATCGAACCCGAGAAGCCTGGCAAAAAGTTATCCCAAAGTTCCTTGAACCTGACCCTGACCATTTGAAGATGGAGATTACGCGTCAGAAATGGTGGGGAGAATTTTGAGTGAGTGTATGGGATGGATGAAAATGCTCGACAATGCATCAGAAAATTCGGAATTCGTGGGCTTGAAACCGACCGGCGCAATTGTTCTTCGAGTTCAGGGCACGATTTCCTTTTCTTCGAGCATGTCCCAAGTCGGCTTCGGTGATGCCATGTCTTTGCCCGCCGAATACCGCCCAGCGGCAACTTTTTTCGTAACGTAGCCTCGAGCCACTGCCTCGACCTTGCCCCAGTCCAATTGCGACGTCCCGACCGCTTTGCCATCTATGGCCAATCTTGCCAGTACATCAGAAATCCAAGTACGGCAACGCCACTGAGGGTCGTTCTGCACGACTTGTGTAGTTCGGAAGATCTCGACAAGACGCCTTTCGTCTTCAACTTTCGCGACCACGATTCGTGCCAGAAGAGTATTGGTGTTCTGGACATTGGACACAGAGACTTCCTCATAAGTCCAGCCATGTGTAAAATGGTTTTTCACATGATAGCGCATGCCAGGGACCTGCTGCCTGTCTTCAACTTTGGGGCCGATAAGAAAGCTCCAGTCATATCTGGGAATGATGTTGAGCCTTGATCGAATCACGGCAATGTGAAAGGACGGGCATCCATACTTTCGTTCCTCGTTGTCAGCGACTCCAGATGGATAGAGAGCGACATAGAGCCGCTTCTTCTTTGGAACCATGGCATTCTTCGTGAGAGTTCTACAAGAAGGCTAACAGTCATAAGACTAAGTGGAAAGCAGGAGTTAACATGGCCATGCATGGGGGTTCCTCTGTCATTATATGCCTGCGGTCAGCCATGGCGTCTCCAGATGCCTGACAAGCGACCTAAGAATAGAAGAGTCTACAGCTCATCGAGTCGCCAACGCCCCGACTGTCCGTATCCAGGGGATAGTTACGTGCCAATGTACCAACAGAAGGGCAGTGCGGGCATGAGCGTGGTCGAGCGGGCGGGTCCGGGGGGAGTGGGTCTAGCCGCCGCGTGCCGTCCTACTACTGTAAAACAAGTACAACAAAAAATCATCCATCACGACTGGGATCAAGTCCGCATGCTATTCTTGATACTGCAAAATTGTTCTTTGTTAGACACTGAATCTTCCATTCCATTCGCGTCAGTGTCCAAACGCACCTGCCCCTTTGACCTCGTCTCGAACGCTAGATGCAAAGCATTACAGTATGCCCGTCATGCCGGCTCGCGACTCGGTCTCGCTTCCAGCGGCTCCTCGATGATCTCCAGAATGGCCGGCGCAAATTCCACTACAGCCGTCCGCGCAGAGAGGCTGCGCGACCACTGCGTGGTGCAGAGGCTGCGGGATCCTCCTGGTACTGGCAGACCACCCCGCCGACGCGACAGAATCTGGCCGCGGCAGAACATTTCTTCCGACACAACACGCCGACACGGATCTGGACGGGCGAAGGATGGCGGAACCGACAGAGTGAAGCGCAGGAACTGCCCGAAGTCATCTTTCTCGGAAGGTCGAACGTGGGCAAGTCCTCGGTGACCAACGCGCTCACATTGACCGACATCAACCGCGTGAGCTCGGTTCCCGGCGCAACAAAGGCGATGGCCGCATGGACATTGGCTGCGAAAACTGCCACCGGAGGAGCCGTCAAGGGATGGGATGGAGACGTCAACCCGAAACTCACACTGGTCGATATGCCTGGCTACGGCCATGGGAGTCAGACGGAATGGGGCGCCGCGATTGTCGAGTACATGGAAAGAAGGAGGAACATACGGAGAGCCTTTGTGCTCATCGACGTGTTGCATGGGGTGATGCCACGGGATGTGGATATTCTCAAGATGCTTAGATCCCTGGCGATTCCATACCAGATCGTCGCCACCAAATGCGACCGGTTCGCATCGAGTGAAGCCCAAGGCGAAGCGCGTGCCGCGTTGGAGAAGATCCGCGCGCAAGCGGAGCTGGATGCCGACGACAGTCTGGCGCTGGGCGAGATCATTGCAACTGGGTTTCTGAACACCATGGCCGCTAACGGGAAGGGGGCTACCGCCAGGCTGGCCCTGGGAAAAGGCGCCTTCGGCGTCTCAAATTTACAATGGGCAGTGCTGCGGGCTGCTGGTCTTGACACGTATGCCATGCAGAAAGCAGAATCTCATGGCGTGTTGAAGAAGCTGCGGGCAGAGGAGAGACTTCTGCCTTTACTCGAAGGTGTGAAGCAGGACGATGCTACCAAGTACCAAAGCGAGCCTTCCAGTCAAGAAGCCCCTGGCCACGAAGACGTTCAGACGAACAGTGCACAAAGGTCCTCTGCTCAACCAGCATCGACTTCGATGACTTCAGAAACCGGTGTTAGCGTAGAAGACTTTCTGCGCGAAATCCTGGGCTCGTCTTCTACCGAATCTCCACACAAGGGAGGTCAGGACCATCCCCATGGGCGTCGCCAGAGCCCACAGCAACAGCAAAAGCAACAGCACCAAACCGGAGCTCGAATCTTCGATCCCCTCTCCACGGATGAAACCGCTAAACCACGCTCGAGCCGAAGTCCAAACCAAACGCTCAGCCAATGGCTAGAAGACGCTACGGACAGAAGCGCGTCAGCAGAGACCGCACGAAGACCACATACCAATAATTCTACCAACGGTAACAGCAACAACAACTACGGCCAGCCTCGAAATTCAGGCGTAGCATATCATGATCAGCATCGATCGTCGTCCTCAACCGCCGACTCGACTCCCCGACACCAAAGACAACCGCAGATTTCATCGTCCCACGCTGAAGCTCAAAGTCAGTCGGCGACCTTCGGCAAAGGCGTCACACGCGGCATGGAGGCCCTTGAAGCTATGGGTGGCCTCGACCCACGATCCAAAGCAAGATCGAGATCTAGCTCTGCTATGTCGTCCTCCAGCAGATCCCGATCCTCAAAGTCAAGGTCGAAAAGTGGCGGCGGCAGAAATCACAGTCGTGGCACTGATGGTCAATCTGCGTTTGCCTCTTCTGCTCCCACGGCAGCAGTCGGCAAAGGAGTGACTCGTGGCATGGACGCTCTTGAAGCCATGATGGCCGGAAATGGGAGCGACGGTCGTATTCCACGAAGTCGACGTCGAAAGTAAATTGACGCTGGAGTCAAACGTTTCTTTCCAAGATATGTAATATGACAAAACTCGACCAGCATTCAGCACGGCAAGGGAATTTACTTGTGCGCAAGGGACGCTCTCGAATCGATAATGCTCGGAAGTGGGAGCGACGGTTGAAAACCTCGAAGTCGACTTACAAAGTGAGCAACAGTGAAGCCGGCGCTTCTTTGTGGCCAAGTGTACCACGGGGAAAAGAATATTGATCAAAAGCCAGTCCTGCCAGGTCTGCCTGCCTTCGCCGGATGTCGGGCTACCAGTATCTTGAAGATAGCTTCAATACGTATCACACCACCCTAGGGTAATTTGTACAGAAGATAAAACAATGACATTATCACCCGGATATAAATACAGAGCCAGGGCTAGTACAAGAACTACCTACTGCGTGGTGTACCATGGATACAGAAGTCCACGTCAATTACGATGCTGGAAGTACCTAAGTAGTCAAATTCATCCGCAGTGGTCAAGGTAACATTGGAGTTTTAGGAATAATGGTAACTACAGATGACAAGCCCTCCGCTGTCTCCGGTCTGAAAACGCATCAATGTCTGCCTACTCTATTACAATGGACGTTGAGGGCCGAAAAGAGGATGAACATGGCCAGGAATCCCGGTCGATCCTCAAAGAAGGAACGATTCACTGCATACCAGAACCACGTTTCCTTGGAGCATCGACCTTCTGAGCTCCTGTCCATATGCCACTGAAACCGTAAAGCAGTAAAGCAAGGTCAACATGAAAGCCGCCGTGTCCTTAGATCCAGGACCGTCATCCCAAACAGTACTGCCGTGGGAAAAGAACCTTTGACCAATCAAACACTCGAAGCGACATCCCCTGGAAGCTCACCAAGCAATCCTTCTACATCCCCTCTGCCAGTGTGGAAAGAGTCGGTGTCGCCATCTTCGCCAGTCTGTTCGAGACCATCAGATTGTTCCTGACCGGTACTTGTTCGCTGGCCCATCATACCTCCGCCACCAGGTTCATAGTCAGACTCAATGCTGAACTCGGCCCCATCCCTAGCACAACCATTGCCGCCTTGTGCGATTACAGCCAGGTCGCGCAGCTGTCTTGCGTCGAATGGAAATCCCAACGTTTGCGAGATTGGCATGGGCATGACCTGGCGATGTTCATCTCTTGGTTGCTCGCTGGAGTCCAGACTGGGGTACAATATTTCCGGAACTTTCAGAGAAGCAGGATTGCGGATCCTTAGCTGGACAGAGTCACTGCTGTTATCCTGTGGTAGACTATTATCCGATCGCCCCGGTTCTGCATTTTCAACACCTTGGCCATGTGCGTAGCTTGGCTTGTTGAACATACCAGAACCTCCGGCCGCCGACGCCTCCCTAGATGGAGAAGGGGTTTCACCATGGTTCATTGGATAAGCCGGAATGTGCGATTTAGGAGACCGAACAGACACTCTTTCTGGATCGTCCTTGACGCTCTGATAAAAGAACCGAGAATTCGTCTCACCGTCACCTGCTGACGATGCGGTAGCTTGCTTCGCAAAAAAGGCCAGCCGCTGCGCTCGAATAAACTTCGCATCGAGTTCACCAGGCTGTCCGGGACTTGGAGTGGCAGGCATGTTTGCTCTAGACTCAAGAGCTCCGTGGCTAGGAGGTGCAGTAGACACTTCTTGCAGGATATCGATGTTGTGCGTTAAGACTGTCTGCAAAGGAGGAAGATTAGACTCGGGACTCTGTGAAGTGGTTTTATCCTCGATCGGAGGGTCGCGACTGCTCACGGTCGTAGGAGTGGTTGCATCGCGGCTGCTTGTGTCCGCGGACTGTGCCACGTTGAGCACTGACGCCTGAGCATCGGAGCCAGTACCTTGAGATTCTTTTGCAGTGTCTTTGACTTTGGCACGATCAGGCACTTTGCAACGATGGAGCGTAAACGTGTAAAACATCCGCAATATCTCGTTTTTCTTTTCCAGCTCGTCATGTGTCATCTCAGGATTGTAAGGGAAAGCCTGGTCAATTTCCGTATATTGAGACCGCTGGTGGTGTACCCATCTACCCTGACGCAGACGCCTATCACGGAAACGCAAGAAATCGCCACCACGTGTTGTTGTGTCCCATTGAATGATTTCGCCGACAACATTTCTTCCGGCAGGCTCTGACTGGCAATTTGTCGAGATAGTCCCAGGGCTAGTCGTATCACCGTGAGATAAACTAGCTTCGGCAGGAGTCGGGGTTGACATGCTCTCAGCCGATTCCTCCTGAGCCGAGCCCATCCTTGAAGGTTCGTGTTCCGAACCGTTTGCAGGCCAAGGCGGATGGTTCATTCTCATCCGCTCGAATCGGTCCCTGTACGGTTTACCGATGTATGGGTTGGGTCGATCAAGATGAAAAGGACATTGCTCATGCAGTTTGCGCAAGGAAGGTTTTACAAAATTGAGGGGCTTTCCCTGCCTGATCTTGCAGTCCCTCCAATGTAGCCAGCGCCCGTCCTGAGTATCAACGTCCCATGCCACAGGGTTCCCATCGATATCGAGGCCTTGAGCCAGAAGGACATCCTCAGGAGAGCACAAATGTTCGGTCGGCCTAGGTGTCTCTGGGTCGGGTTCTGACGCAGCTGACTTGTGGTTGCAGAGTCTGGAAGCCTTATTCATGTCACCATCCACCTCCGGACCGCTCTCCTCATCTTCACTGTCCTCACTGTCAGCTATGACCTTCCTGTATCGCCAGCTTTTCCGGGGCTGGTGCGTGGGATTGTCCTGGCATGAGGTCGTGGATGTCAGCTTTGAACTTGAGGATTGGCGACTGCTTCGTCCAGAGGAGCAAGACTGCACTTTTCCATGGTCAGAATTCCCCAACGTACCATCGATTTGACCATCTAGAGCTTCTTCGGCGCCTGACGTCTTCGCTTGATCGAGCAGCGCCTTCTCCTTGGCTTCCAGGGCCGCCTTCAGCTCCTTTTGCTTTTGCCGGTGGAATTCCAAATCCTTTCTCAAAGTATCGGCTCGGTCCGTGACAGGCTCTAGAAACTCGTCCACCGAGACATCCTCGCCTGCGCCGACCCTTTCGATGATCGACCAAGCTCGGCGAAACTCGTCCCGGATTGCGACGAGTCCGTTATGACCAACTGTCCGAGCAATGTTATGGTCGACCTCGAACGGATCCTCGATGGCTAGTAGGTAGCGTAGACGGACATGATTGTCTCCCTTTTGTACCCACTTGGCCTCAGTCCATCCCTTCTCCTGTTTGGATACAATGCCACCTTTGCGTCTGATTGAAATGACATCCCGGGTCCAATGAAACCCTTCACGGGTCGCGTAGTATTGGAAGAATCCTCTCAGGAGTTGACCAGAAGTCTCACGATTTGGTCGGGAAGCCATCTCCTGGCGCACCTCTGCAATGCTCCTCGGATCGCAAAGGTAACGGATGTCGCAGCCTTCGATCAGCTTGACCTTCAAGTCTGGAAACCAGTCATCCTGACACGTGACCAAGTGTTGCAGATTGGGGATAACGGGAGGGGAGGCCACGTTCATGAGATAGTGGAGGACCATCATGATGTATCCATAGCTTGAAAGAGTGCCATGGTAAGGCGTGTTGATGTCTCTCATCTTAGCCCAAATTTTGACAAAGAGCCCCAACTCTCCAACACGCTTATCGAAGTCGTGGTAGAGTTTCAGCAAGGCTGTGTTATAAAGGGCAACAAAATTGGTGAAGTTGATGTCACACTGGATACCGCAGTCTGCAGTGAATTCCAGGCCGGTGTTGCCGTGTGGGCTTGGGGCCCTGGGAACAGTGTTGGAGATCGTGAGGTCAGCAAGGGATTGTTCAACTGTTTCGACATCTGGAGGTGAATCTGTCAGGTTGGGAGCTGATGAGTCGACTGCCGGGGCTGACGTTTCGTACGAAGATTTCTCCCAAGCGGCACGATTGTCGCGCAAATTCTGAAGCAACTCAGCATTGGGACTCTGGCAAATGCGTAAGATAGGAACGCGGGTATTGGTGAGAAGTCGGGCGCCATAACCTTGGTCAAGGTATGCTTTCTCGAGCACTCGACGCACTTCCATGTTGAAAGCGCGCTCGTCATCTTCGTCGTCCGTAGTCAAGTCTTGCTCTGGATTAGTGCCATCAACCGCCCCAAAAGACTTCATTTCTTTTGACCATTTGGGTAGAGCAAGGAGCAGATCCATGTCACAACCACCTAGTGCGAATCCGTTCCCAAGGCTGCCGTAGCATTTTAGCTGCACCTGCTTTATGTCGAGATCGGGGTACTTGGATTTGAGTGCGTTTCTTGCGACTTCTTCAAGCTCGAGCCGGAAGCTCTCCTTCTCCAAAGACTCCTCCCTGCTCAGTCTGTGCTCCGGACATGCCTTTCTGCCAACACTGTTCAAGTAGTCGGACTGCTTGATTCTTACATGGCGCAGATTGCGCTGCTGTTCGACAGTGCCGTATCCCATGCTGGAGTTGGGATTGAACAGACGTGCGTGGCGTGGCGGAGGGCGTCCGTAAGCGTGATGCTGGTAATTCTCGGCGGCTGGTGCCATAGGTGCCATAGGTGCGACAGGAAAGTGATTTTGTTGCGGTCGAAAATGTCCAGCATTGCCCCCATAATTGCCTCTAGCGCGATCTTGATATTCCCTGGGAGTAACTTGGCGCACAGTGTTGTAGGCCTGATGATAGGCTGGCTGTTGGTACTGGGGTTGAGGTGGCATGTTACTAGGAGCTGGAGGTCGCGAAGCCCCAAGCGGAGGGAAAGCCTCGTTACTCATCGAAGATGGCGGGAGCTGCTGGCTTTGGAGCGGCGCAGTTTGGTTCCGGACAAGATACTGATTGTGACTTGGTTGAGGCATCGATGACATTCCTCTGCCCTGCCCACGGCCACGATGGCTACCTCTGTGTTGTTGCGCTAGTTGATGAGAAGTCTGCTGAAGCTGATCCCAGACTCGAGGAGGAAAACCAGGTGCGTCCTGCGGCGCAGCCATGATGGCTTACTGGCTTCCCGAACGTTTTGAGCAGTAGTAGAAATAGTCAGATTCTTTGTTGATATGTGATCGGGGAAGGTCCGACAGATTCAGCGGTTGATGCTTGGCAAGGGTTCTTGCAACATAGGGTAAGTGAAAAGAAAGGTGAGAGTGAAAATAGCTGGGGCAGAGATACGTTTAAATAGATAACCAAGTCGTGGAGATCGCGGGTGAAAAGGGAGCAAGTCGTGAATGCTGATTACAAGAGTCACTTGAATAGGGCGCGACAACGAGGTTGAAGTTAACGAGCCTGATGTGAGTTCCACTGGTTCGCGGGTTCTGTGTCACGGTGACTGTCACCTTATTGGCTGGTGATCACGTGACAGCTGTGTTGGCCATGAACCTTCACGGCATCACCATCAATAATGGGTTTCTTGGAAGGGTCTCTTCGCAGTTGGCGAATACTGCACCGTACTCTGCAGTGCTACCTGCAGTGGTGCCGCCCTAGTAATTACGTGCCGCCCTAGTAATTACTACTACCACACGTGCCAGTACTACCTTACCTACTACATAGTACGTGATGCCAGAGTCGCTCACGACCTGCGTTCCACTGCTAACTTGAACTCTGGTGTCGCCGGTACTTAGGTACATGAAAAAGTGACCCATCACCCCGCGAAGCTGCCTGTCCTTGCAGCATATTCCTGGACTGTGGTAACTTTTTAGCCTGTATCTGCATCGGCGGGCCTGTAAACCCACCGCACCTGGCACCGTCTCATGCTCTCAGCAGAAACAGAATGAATCCAGGCACCGTCCCCGGAGGCGGACCTGGTGCGAACCGACCGCCAGGCCCGCCCCCTGCGGTGCGTCGAAAGAAACCACAATCAGACCCATTCTTCAAAGGCCCCAGGAAGAACCCCAACCCGACTGGTATCAAGCAGGTTAATGGCAGTGCAACTCCCCTTGCCAATGGCCAGCCTCCCGCGAAGCGAATCCCAGTCCCAAATCCTCTGCGGCCTTCCAAACCTGAATCTGCCATACCCGAAAATGAGCGTGTCAGCGGTTTCAGTGACCCGCGGGTCGCTGCTGAAGGGATTCCCTACCAAGACTACAAGCTTGTGACATCCAAGAAGGAACTCCTCAATGGTCTGCGGTATCATCTGCTGCAGCTGGCCGGTGAGAAGGTTATCGATATTCGTAATGAGGCCGAATTCCCGAAGCCGGCTCGTCTCCATCGACGCGATCCTCGAGCGCCACCGCCTGGTCATCAGCAACAGCAACAGCAACCCAAAGAAGAAGACCAACCGCCGGAGCCCAAGGACGGTTTGACCGCTACCGAGCGAGAAGAGGTAAACAAGAGGAAAGAAGCAAGGCAGAGGGAGCGGGAGGCCAATCTTGCCCAGATAGCACCGTCACAGGGCGCAGGTCGGAAGATAAATTTCAAGAAGAAGACCCAGCAGGTTTTCAGGCCCGACTATTCCGCCGAAGAAAAGCGGCGCATCCAGACCAACTACGAAGAGAAACTACCATGGCATCTGGAGGATTTCGACGGCAAGCATTGCCTCATCGGTCATCACCAGATGGGGTCGATGGGCACCACTGTAGCCTTTGTCTACGAGCCTGGCCAAGATAAAGGAAAGTATCGAATGATCCCGATCGAAAAGGTATATCAGTTCAAACCTAAGCGCGAGCTGGCACAGCAAATGTCAATTGAAGAGGTCGAGGCGGCCATGAAGAAACGAGGCACGGACCCAGAATGGCTGATTCGACAACGAGAGGCACGCATTGCAGAGGCGTCAAAAGAGCTTGCCGCGAGGAAGAGCAAAGGATTGTTTTCAGGCGCTGCTCCTACAGAGACTTACGCGGGTCGGACCGGCGAAGAGGCTGACCTGGACTTTGAAGATGACTTTGCCGACGATGAGGAAGGTGATCTCTTCGCCGACAAGGACGAGGACGAAAAGTTTGCGGAGAAGAGGATCAAAGAAGATCAGCTGCAGGCCAACTTCTTCGATCTCAAGGACTTGAAGGAATACGATGAAGCAGAAGAACGAGAGCGCAAGGAAGAAGAAGCGCGGAAGAAGAATTTCCGGGAACTTCGAAAAGCCCTCGAGAAGCGGGAACGCAATTTCAACCACGCGACTGATTCTGAGGACGTGTCTACGGTAAGTTTGGAATCTGCTATCGGTTCGACCTTTTGCTAACGTCACTCGTAGACGGATTCCGAAGAAGAACGCGAACGCTTGGAGCGCGAGCGGATTGCCAACCTCAAGAAAGAAGAAGAAGAAGCCGAAGCCGACGGCAAGAAATCGGCCCTTTCGTCATCGGGCGCGAACACCCCGTCAGGCCGCAAGGAGAAGAAGGGCGGTAGTTTCGCAAGCGATCGTGAAGACGGACTGAAGAAATCTGCTTCCTCGAAGTCGCTGAAACGACCTGGCTCCCCCAACCTGTCGGATGCTTCGGGCACAGATGCCTCGACGAGGAAGAAGAAGCTGAAATCCCGCCATGTGTCTTCTGCTCAACCGACACCCGGTCAATCACGGCCCATGTCGCCAGCAGACTTGTCTACGCTTGAACCTTCGGCGGCGTTGAAGATGCGCAGACGTGGCGGGGCCGGGTCCGACACAGACACAGTGATGAGCGACCGCGACGGCGGTGCAATGTCCGATGCCAGCAGGGCCCAGCGTCTCAAACTGAAGGTGTCCGTCTCGCCACCCGGCACTGGTCGGTCGACGCCTCAACCTGGTTCGCGCGTAGGTTCACCCGCTCCAGGAGGACCACGACCGGCTGCCGGTCCTGGCACACCGCAGGGTAGTGAACCATCTACCGCATTCCCTTCAGTGCAAGACGTTAGAAACGCCATTCCGCCCCAAGGTATCGGGATTAAGGATCTCATCAAGGCGGTTGAACATCCCAGGGAACGCCGGAATGACTTCATCAACTTGGTCAAGGAGGTCGCACGCATCGATAAGGATCGGGGCGTGCTGGTCCTGCGATGAATGGCCCATGGACCAGGTAATCAACTAACTGACTGGTACTGGTACTGTGGTTGCTGAATCTAAGTCGGCTGTACTGGCCCATCATAGATCATGGCCTATTGATGAGGGGCTCGGCCACTGCAACAACTGGAGCTGAAGCTGAAGCTGAAGCTGAAGCTGAAGCGTTTGGCCGGCATACTGGCACAGATATTGTTCAAGTAGAAGATTACTAGTAATGACAGTGAGACTGATTGCCCTGACTTATTTGTACTTTGCTTTACCTGACCAAATTTTTTTAAATCTTTATTGGACCTGGAATTCTGCTTCAGTTCACCAGGACAGAAAGAAGCTCTGTATACAGCGGGCCTTTGCCAGGGCTTGTTGCTGAGGTGGCTAGTAGTTGTGATCCTATCCACGTTCCAAGAGAACTTCTGACACTCATGTGTACTGTACATCTAAGGAAACAACCGACGAGTGCTGACGGAGTGCACGGTTAGGGGATATATATATTCATATAGATAGATAGATTCAAGTCAACATGACCATTGTCTGCGATATCTCGCACTCACTACCAGAACAGATAGACGATTCTGAATCTCGAAGTCTGTAGGTATGTAGTACTGGCTGGTATGTGCATTTCCATTTCAAGCTCAAGTCTCATCGTAATGTACTTATGGTAGCTCGCCCTTGTCCGCACCCTCCGGGAAACGGGTCAACCCATTTCCTTCTATGCTCGGGTGGCTTGAACGAACTTGCATGAGCTGATATGTTCCGTCCCACATCCTCATTCTTCTCAATCTACTCCCAAGATCAGGCTATGTACCTCGAAACTCCAAACACGAAACAGAAAATGATCTTTTCGGATCTAAGCACTGGAGAAAAAAAGAAACATAAGAAACGCTGTAGATGTAGTTGTGCCACTGTCCCAAACAAGCAACCAAGGTCAGACCCCATCATTGACTGGTCAATGGGGATGGTCAATCGGAGCAGAGCAAGAGAGGGCACTGCCAGAAGAGGACTGATTGTAGGTGTTTTCGAATCCATCAGTAGGACGGTTGGAATGGGGTCCGACCAACTCGTGGTGAATTCCAATACGATGCATCCTGGCGGAAAATCCAAGTCTTCTCTTTGGCGTCCGATTTGATCCATACCAAACAGTAGCAAGCGAGTTCGGCCACTCTGGTCACATGCTATGCTACAAGCTCCAGTTCTTCTGCATCTTTGGTCATATCGTTTCGACTCAATCAATACATCTGCTCTCGTGGCTGGCTGGCGAGCTTGGAATGTCTAGTCCAGTCTAATCCAGTACGGTCCCGCTCTGGGTGTAGCGATTCGTCTCAGCTTGCAGAGTATCGACCACTAACCAATTTCGATCTCGTCGGCACGACTTCCCATCGTTTCTCCTCTGCACTTTCGCGTACGCTGCTGTCGGCCGTGTCATCGGCGAACGGATCCGTGGTAGTGTCTTTTTCTTCTTTCTCTGTTGTTGTGGATGTGGCTTTTTCGACTCCGATGCCGCTCGCAGTGCGCCCGGGGATCTCGAACTTCAACTCTATCGCTCCCTTCTTCGGCATGCCGCCTTGTGTCAGAAATCTAACCAACAATCGCTCCTGTTCGGGTTTGACGGTCAGTTCGGTCAACCGCCATACTACGGCCGAGGCTTTCCGGCGGAATGTCGCGCCCTGCGTGGGTGCCATCATGGCCGACGTGGCCTTCCCTGTCCCTTCCCCAGAGGTATCCAGGTTGACACTGATGACGACGTTCTTAAGGGTCAAAAAACCGGACTCGTCGCTTGCATGCTCGAAAATGGGGTTGAGACTGTACAGGACAATAACGCTGACTTGGCCCTCGACTACCTGCCATGCTGGTGTGAGTAGCACGGGGCTGTACCGCGCGAGATTGTTCTCTTCAATGTGAAGCTGGTATTTGAGGCCAATCACGGGCGTAGGTCTGCGGATAGGATGCGTCGTCACAGTGTATGAGCCTGCTTGTTCCTCGGCCAAGGTGTTGCCAGTGGATTTGACCTGTGTGATAAAAATTGGATTCGCTGCAATCTTGTCTAACCGCTCAAAATGCTGTAATCGCACGACTTCTTGCGCAGGCTCGGAAGCGGCAGCAGCTGAGGCTGGAGGGTTGTAGGCAAAAGCGACCTCACCAAGCACAAAAGACTTGCTGATGCCAGTTTCGGTGAACCATGAGTGAACTGTTTCCACAATGGAGGCATTCAAGCCCGGTTCATGGAGGTCAACATGTTGGGTAGGTCCAGTCAGACTTCGGGAGGAATGAACCGATGTCGTGTCCGAGTTCACTCCATGCTCTTCATGAATAATGCTCGCATGAGCTGGGCGCTGCAGAGGAGAGGCAAGGACATTCTCAGGCGTGCTAAGGCTTCCCGGGATAGAGATAGCTGGAGCTGACGGTGAAGCTGAGACCGAAGGCAAACCTGCAAGACCATCGGTCTGGCTTGGGACGTACATGGTGTTCCTAACATCACGCCGACCCCTTACGCTGCCCTGAACCCGATTAAGGCCAGAGTGCTGCGCTTGGGTTCTTAATTGACTGGCCATATTGTTCATGGCGCGTTGAGCCTCACTCTCATCCTCCTGTATAGGCTTGTCTCGGATCATAAAGTTGCGCGTTGGCTCGTCCCCGTTAGGACTCGAAGGAGACAGATCTTGCTGTGTAGGAGCCGTTGGCTCAGCAATGGGTGTAGACGGTTCGTGCTGTTTCGCAGGTGGTTGAGGCGGCGGACTTCTGGCCTGTGATGAGCTCGCAGTCTCAAGCAATGCAGGCTGACTAGGGGTGGTCTCAATATTCGAATCCAAGGGCGACTGAGATGGTGCAACGCCGTTCGATATTGGAGCCGTTGATTCAGGCTGACTCCTGATAGGTAGGTCATGTTGCCTGTCATGAGATATTGAAGATGCTGGTCGATCATCCTGCGTTGAGCTAGCAGCAAGATCTTCGCCAGTTTCCTCCAAATCCTGGAAACTCTGGGATGAGTCTCCCCGTCTGAACGGCGCAAAGGACCTTGTTCTTCGCTTCTCTTCTTTAGATGTCTGCGAGGGAATGGGCGGCACGGCGCTCTTTCTTCGGCCCATGACTGTTCCAAGACGTTTTAGACCACCAAGTCTGTGCTTCTCTTTGTGTGGCGTCGTCTCAGGCACTATAGATTGATTAGAATATTCAGCATATGGAGTGGATGAACGTACAAGGCGCCAGTGTATCTTGGCCAGCAGCAGAGTTTGAGCGATGGCTTTGTCTATCATCTGCATGTCGTGGCGGAGGCGGCGTTGGAGGAACACGATTATGTGAGCTAGGAGGTCTGGCACTGCTAGCCGTTGCTGAGCTGTGTCTCCTAATGGCACTGTCAGGCCGTTCAGCTGCTTGTGCTGCAAAGTTCTGTATTTCAACCGCGGTTTCGAGATCGAGCAGCGCATTGAGACATGATTCTGCGCTGAGTCGGTTCTTTTCGATAGCATCCACCTCATAAGTCTGGAACTGGGTGAGCACATCCCTCAAATGGTTGATTCTTGTCTCATCCAGCGCTTGGAGTTGCTCAAAGACAAACGGGGCCTGCGACTCCCACTGGCGCGATGCCTCCTCGACGGCAGATGTTGCATGGTCTCCTTTTCTGCCGCCCTTAGCAGCTTTCCTTTGAGCATTAGCAAGCTCTTTCGCGATCGCATTGAGGTTGCCTTGGGTTGAGACCAGCGCCTGCATTTCTCGGTTTCGGGAGGCAAAGTTTCTCAAGGGATTCTCGACGTCGCTTTCGATTTTGGAAGCGAGGGTTTCGTGAGAGGCGGCTAGATTCTCTGTTCCAGAAACGATCCGCTGCCATGGCATCTGGAAAATGCTATACTGGTCAATAACTTTCAAGGAAAGGTAGGCTCAAATTTACCCCAATGCTGAAGCCGCATCCTGTTGTGGCCGGCGGGCAAGCTTGCGCAGTCCCGCGACATAGGCTTCTTCCACTCTCCGGCGTTCCTGATGTGGGTTAGATGCCATCATACAATGGTATAGTGGGGTGACTAACCTGAAGCCAGTCGGCGATGTCATTGTTAATCTTAGAAATGAGGGACACCCGGTCGTTAAGGACTGTTATGGCCTGTTCCGGCTGGAGTGAAGCCTGGCGCAATTGAATGTCAGTTGAGGATCCGGGCCGCGCGGATGGATTCAAGGAGACCAGACCAGGAGTGTAGGGTATTCTGTTCGCGAGAACTCCATGATGTTTATTGTAGTGCCGTCATCCACACATTTAGCGACCGTCAACCGATGTGTCAGACAACGTAGGACAAAGTGGCATGCCCGAACATGTCGCAAACAATGGAAGATACGTCGACTCTGGTGCAACACCTAGTTTGCAGTATCGGTGACAACCAGAAGCTGTCGGCGAAGCTAGGGAAGCCGGACAATTGGTTACATAATCTTACGGTGCAGCACAGCGCACGTCAAGACTCCGTTTACAAAATCCCCCAGCCGCCTACCTACAATGGCCGGATTCGAAAAGAACGTCGGAGGGGCTATCACTAGAAGTAGACTAGCGTCGCCTCTTTTACAGCCTTTGCAGCCTATTTCACGTATTTTACACCACTTGGTTGGGCTATGAGTACCATCTATACCGTATTGTAATGTGGCTAGTGTTATTAGTCAACCAGAGAGACCAATCAGGAGTCTTAAACACCCCCACCGACGTTAATTTCGAATCCGGCCGTTGTAGGTATGCTTATGTCAGCAAATACCTGGTTTATTGACGCCCGCGTGCAGCACTCAGCACGTGCAGCATACTACCACCGTAGTACAGCTCAAACAGAGCGGTGCTGCGGTGGAGCATCCAGGGAAGCTAAAGCAATATCTTATGTGGGTACCTAGGTAAGGTAAGGTAGGTACCTACTCATAGCTATCTATGATGACTTCGGTTTTGATGGTGGGGGTGACAACAGTCCCCAAGGTCTTCCCACGGCTTTGTTGTAAGCGCAATGGACAGTCTGAACAGATGACAAAGATTGGTTCGAGCTAGCTCCGGGCTGGAAGGATTACCCGTCCCACTCACGACCTAGGTACCTATAACGCCCTACCATTGTAGATGATGACGAGATTATCGGTTCATTGCTCGAGTCTCAGCATATGCACCTTTCACAGAGAATAAAGCAGAAGTAACATGATATTTATGTCCTTGAAGGTCGATATCTAATTTGTGTCCACAATGACGGTTGATATTAGCTTTGCCGACCGACTGAGCACTATAGTGGCCCTGTGAGGAGGAGAACCGTTAGCTACCAACTTTTCATTGATACTGACAGTATGAGGCAGGACCAATGCTTTTCAATCCGCCGGCAAGCAGCCAGATGAAGCGCAAAAGGAAGCTAGGGAGCTGGAAGACAAGATACTACACACTGCTTCCTCTAGTGTACGAAAACAAGTCTGAGCCATCGAGAGGGCAGATGTATTGACGGTTGTAGGGTGACTATCAGCAAACGCTCGACAACGTCATCGTCGATCTGCAAGGTCCCCACGCCGAGACCATCGAGAAAGAAGATCCTCTTGAGGAGCACGAGATCCTCAACACAGATGGGCCGTCCTTTGGCGCCTATCGATATGCGACGTTCCACGCAGATGGCCAGATGTCAACTGTTTTCAAGGCTGAGGCCAAGGACACCACAGCACCAGTAAGGATTGTGGCTCTCAAGGTGACCTACCCAGCAATGATGACACCGCCCCACAACTCGGAGAGAGAAGCTCGACTCCTGGTTGAGGCTCGTCATGAAAATGTCGTTCCCCTCCTGGAAACGGTTCACGAATCTCGAGGTCGATTAATTCTCGTCTTTCCCTTCTTGCGGCAAGATCTGGAAAATTTGCTCGGGTCGGGAAGGCTGGACAAACGCCAAGCCAGTATGGTATTCCAAGGTCTCTTCAGAGCTCTTGAACATATTCACGCTTTGGGCATAATACATAGAGACGTGAAGCCTTCGAACATACTGCTCAAGTCCATGGACGGCCCCGTCTATCTTGCAGATTTTGGGATTGCGTGGTCTCCGGACGACGAAGACTCTGAGCCAGCTGATTCCAAGATCACTGACGTCGGCACGACATGTTATAGACCACCTGAACTGCTCTTCGGGCATCGATACTACGACACTTCATTGGATATCTGGGCCGCAGGATGTGTCGTTGCGGAGATGATCAGGAACGGCCACGAACCAATCTTTGATGCAGGACCTCTAGGAAGCGAGCTAGGGCTGATCAAGTCCATGTTCACCACGCTCGGCACACCAGATGATGAAAGCTGGCCTTCAGCCAAAAGGTATCCTGACTGGGGAAAGATGCGATTCCAGTCCTTTCCCGCTAAATCGTGGAAAGAAATCCTTCCGGGTGCCACAGAGCAGGGAATCGATTTCGTCAGCAAGACTGTTTGCTATGAAAGCACTCGCAGGTTGACTGCTAAGCAGGCTCTTGAACACGAGCTAGCTTCCACGATTGGACGAAGGTAATGGGTTGATTTAGGGTGGATTCCTGATAGCGGGTTAAGGTACCACATGAAAGCATATGGACAAAACGCTCTGGTACCTGGACCATGTGTTTGGGTATATCTCGTCTGGTGTACAACCTTTGTAATCTCGAACGACCTTTTCACCAAAGCTAAAGAATGTTCGTTCTCGACGAACCGGCACTTCACGGAGAATAGAATGTTGGCAGTGCACTGATTTTGAATTGACAGCTTTCACCTGCCATACTCCGTGCCAGAGTTGATTCCACCTTCTTCCGGGCATATTTGACAGCCTATCGCAGTGGTAGATCCAACAGATTTGAAAGCCACTGTCATCCCGCAGCAACAATCCAACCACGAGGTTCCTGCCTAGTTTTTAACTGAGCAACCACTTTATCCTGCGCACCTCCTTGGCCAAGATTAGTGCACTTTCCGCGGTTGTGAGGGAAGCAGCATGCGGACCATAACTCGAACGCGTGCCCAGAGCATGTGCAATGTCAGCTACTAGCAAACACCAGGTTCACAGACGATAGCGATTTTGGAAAGATTGGCGTTCATAGCGTGGGACAGGGCGGAGAATGAGTACAACTTGAAGTGGATGGCGACTTTAATCATGAGATTGGCCAACTCGCAATCTCGTGGTGACAGGGAAGAAGCATGCGGTTAGCCACTCTCCGTTCTGCCACAATTGTAGAAGACCATTCCGGTTTCAATTAACTCACGGTCGATTATAGTCTTTCGTTTGTGCACTGACAACAATCATGCAATATTCCAAGCCTGCCTCGTCCAGGCCAGTCATGCTGAGCTGGTCAGGAGCCGAGACCTAGAAGGTGCGATGACCACAGGCAGTAGTAGCGGTAGCATTAGTACCTAGTAGTAGTAGTAGTACCTGGCAAACTTGGACGTGCAATCATTTCTCCAGCTTGAAGGCTGAGCTACGATCAGGGCTGCAACTGACCCCTGAACTTGAACTAAGTAGTAGTTGTTGTACTGCACCAGGAAGGCACGTTAAAGACTGGTCGCAGTATATTCTAGAAACCTAGGTAGTACTGTTCTGCCAACTCTTCAAGCAAGACAGTCTTGTCCTAGTATCGCGACCATTGCCACCTCGAAATCAAGGCATAGTTTGCTCAAGCCATCGTCCATCTGTGATCCATCTGCCATTTGGCCAAGTTGGACAAGTGAAGCTTGTGCAACCAATTCCGTGATCAGCGCATTCAAATGTCAGAAGTGCCAGCTTCGGTGCAATCTCACTAAAGGCTGCAGGAACCGCAGTGTCTAGTCCAGTTTTGGCCAAAGTGTAACACAGGCGCGCTTCTAATCCAGGCACACCAATCAGATGCGTGCAGCCCCTGTTCTCCATCCGCATTCTGTTGGTCGAGAGCGATGAATAACAGTCTCTGAATCCACCATCAATTCCCGCGCCCCGAACTAAACTCCGCCCGCTGCGATTCAAGTTGTCCAGCATCGAGACAACGCCGTCAAACCACCTCACAATAGCCGCGTCACTTTATACTCAAGTGAATCTTACTACTGCAGTCCGCTTCTTCCAATCTTCACACGCTTGCGATTCTCTCACAGAGACCGTAGGACTGTGCGGCGTTTCTTTTCAAATTCTCCCTTCCATTCATTCATTCATTCATTCATTCATTCGTTCATTCACTCTATTGAAGAGTGTATTGTCGGCCCTCTTTTATCGACAATACCTCGCCGGTCTCTCCTTAACATCCCCGATCTGATCGTTTACGGAACCCAGCTGCGCTGCGAATTCTAGTTTTACCTGCACCTCCTTTCCCAGCGAGAGTCGAAGGAGCCCTCTCTTTCACGGTGACGGCAAGGAACCGTCCTTTTTGGCCTTCGCATTGGGCACTTCAGGATCCAGAACAAAACATGGTCCACGGGCACGGGAACTATCACGAAAAAATGGCCGATTTGGCAAAGCGCCAGGTTGGCTTCAGCACGGTTGGGGGTACTGTCTATTCCGTCGTCTATGTAACGGCGCAGCCAACCTTTACCGGCGTCATCGGTGGCTACACAACACTCACCAGCGCGTCTGCGAAGTCCGCTTCAGCGGAGGCAACTTCGCCTACGCTCGAATTCTCAACTGCACCGACGGAGACGGTGGTAGCACAAGACTCGTCCACGGCCGCCGCCAGTTCTATCTTGGCAGCCACGACATCCGTGGTGGCCTCTCCGACGACGGCCAACAACGTCTCCGGCGGCAGCATTACTGGACAATCTGTTGCGCCTGCTTCTGCCACAGCCACATCTTCAGACAGTTCAAGCTCCTCGAGCAGTGGCATGTCCACAGGTGCGAAAGCTGGTATTGCAATCGGCGTCATCGGAGCGCTGGGCCTCTTCGCTGTCTTCTTGCTCTGGCTTTTAGGCAAGAAGCGAAGAGCGCGTGAATCACAGGCCAACAAAGACAATGAGAAATCTACCTACGCCAACGGCCCTACTGCCACCGAGTTGGTCAACAGAAGCCCAACGGTGTCCAGTCCAGCCGCTCCTCGACTGAGTCTCCGACCGGTTTCTCGCATGCTGCCAGAATTCATGGGCTCAGGATCCAAGAGTAGAATGAGTGGTGGTAACCTCCTGAACACCATAGGAGAAACCGGAGCTGTTACTTCAAGAAATCCGTCTCCCTCGCCTCAACCACGCGGCCCAAGTCCGACCCCGAAGCGCGCTGAGGTTCAAAATCTTAGTAACCCCTTTGCGGATCCTCAAAATCCTTTTGCCGACCCGGAGAAGTCAATACAACCTCCCGCGCCTGTGGCTGTCGCTCCAACTGCCCCAAAGCCTTTGTCCGCTATCCCAGCCCCTAACGCGAAACCAGCTTCTGAACCACAGTCTGGTCATGTCCCTGACTCACCGGCCGTTGATATACCAGCACCAGCGCCAGCAGCCGTGACCGCCCCAGAGCCAGCCAAGAACACAATGGCTGTACCGGCACCTGAACAGACCTCCTCAGCTGGTCCTTCGACACCAGTTAGTGCTGCTCCATCTCCAGCGGCAGCATCTGGGCCTGAACCACCACAAGGCAATGTTTTCCGTGTCTTGATGGACTTCAAGCCTTCCATGGACGACGAACTTGAATTGAAGAACGGCCAGCTTGTCCGCATGCTTCATGAATATGACGATGGCTGGGTAAGTCCACCGATGTGCAGTGCCTTTGAGTACAAGCTTGACTAACCCGGTCTTAGGCTCTTTGTATTCGACTTGACCGTTCCCAGCAAGGCGTTGTCCCTAGAACTTGCCTTGCCGCAAAACCATCTAAACCGAAGCCATCCCATCTGAACCAGTATGCCCGTCCTCAACCTGGACAAGGGCCGACGTCGCGACCAATGTCGCCGGCTGGCGGTCCACCAGGCCGAGTAGTGCCGAATTTTAACTCTCCGCGACCGGGTATCCCACCTCAACGCCCCATGAGTCCTGCATCAAGGCCTATGAGTCCTGCCGGCACCCCAAGACCCATGAGTCCCGCTGGTTCACGAAGAGCAATGAGCCCTGTTGGCAGACCCATGAGTCCGGGTCACTTTAACCAAGCCCCTCGACCATTGTCCCCGGGACCGCTACCACGCTCGAAGCGCAGCATGTCTCCAGATCCATACGGAGGTAGAGGGCCAACACCAATGGCAGTGGTCAACCGCCGACGAAGCAATTCAGCCAGCAACTTCCGAGTTCGCCGTAATTCTCCTGTCGGACCGTCGAAACTTGGCCCTGGCACCGGGATCGCGTTGTAGTTTGCTATCCTTGTACTCGGCATCCGTTTTTCCCGCAACAATTCCCACAACTTTGAAACATCGACAAAACAAACGAGATGGCAGATGCCTTTTAGCTTATTGTGGTGGATCATTTACACTCTTGCGACGACGACAGTCTAATGTGCAGTTGGCAACTTGCGTACTTGGAGCTCATCCTTTGCGTCTTTAGCTTCCTGGTCCTCGTTATTTGCTTTACTTGGTGGGCGAACAATGTGTGGACTGCTACAGTTCCTAATAATGAGCATTTTTTGAAGCGCTATTTGCTGATTATGGAGGCAAACGATGGTGGAGGCGATTAAGGCGCTTTAAACCCGAAACATTCTGCACAGGGCGCGGCGTTTGTGTGCCAGTGCTTCATAGACAATAGGAACGTTGATGTTACACAATAACACCCTTTACTTTTTCAACACAACCTACACTTTCAAATCTTCATCTTCTCTCCTGTTTCCTTTGTCAAGACCGTATCGTGCCAAGACAATTCAACCTTTGATGCCGTTGCACTATAGGGAGGACTTGGAGGCAGGTTAGTATGGTGATGGTTGAAGAATGGCCTTTGCGGAGGATAGTATTGGCTTTGGGCATATTGGTCTTCCGCGGGGTCGTCGAGCCCCGTAGTGGGTGAGACAGGACGGAACTCCGGGGAGGCAGGAGGATGGAACTCCTCTGCGAGAAGCATTGACTCAGGCCTACCACCCTCGGGCACTACTAGGTGATCGTGGCGAACAGAATAGGCCATATTGATACTCCGTCTCCGCCGTGCCGCCTCGAGCTTCGCCATGAATTCCTTCATGTTTGGCAGTCGGGTGTGAGGCACTCGAATGTGCGGGTGATCGAAGATGAGCGGACGATGGCAGATGCACGCTGTCATCGGCTCGTCCAAGTTGAACGGCACATAGGGCGGGAAGCCTACCGGAGGGTTCGTCCTGGCGACAGAAGAAGCCTCATCGGCGGAGGGGTACAGAAGCGACGCCGCCAGCGGAGATAGCTCCATTGGGAACGATGGCGGTGAGGGTCGCCGCCCCCGCCTGGTTTGCCCTGTGGGTATTGTTGTCGCCAGTGCCGGTGGTCCAGCCGGGCTGGGCGGTGGTGCTCTGATTTCTGTATCTGTCTGGTGGAGAGGCATATACAGGTCCATGGGATCGATTGGTTGGCCGTGGCTATGAACGTGGTGATCATGGCGATGGCCATTCAAAGTTGCCCAAGCACCATCGCAGGAACACAATCGTTCACTGTCAAGGCCATACCCGGATCCACGGGATGTGGACAAATGGACCTGAACGCACGACGGGGACGACATCAGTTGGCGCAGATGGGCGGGTGTCCCCTGTTGTTGCTGGGCGGCGATGAAGTTGTTCTTGTCCCTGTTGGAAGTCTGGTCAGCGACATGCCTGTCTGTCTTCACTTTGCACAGAGTTTGTAGGGTACTAGTAGGTTAAGCCTTTGGAGGAATGAAACGTAAGAGGAACACCCCTTTTGAGGTGGAGACGTCTGTCGAAGGCACGAGTCGGTCTTAGGTAGTACGTACATCTTGTTGATGCCTGACTTTCACGAGCTTTTGTGCTTGAGAGAGGACGATCGGTAGGGTTAGCAAACGCTGGGTGGTTCCGCTGTCAGAAGGGGAGGCGGAGTTAGACCAAGGAGTATTGACGTGACAAGTCTTTGTCTTGACGGGACGACACGACAGTAGGAAGAAAGGGTAGAGAAACAATTGAGAAGATGGGAGCAAGAGAAGCTCGGGAGCGCTGGTCTTTGTAGCCACCAGATCCCACCTACTGTTCATCCAGACAATCCAGAGGTAGACATGGGGACAACCCTCCATCCCAGCCAAAATCGACCGGCATGATGAACCTGGTCAGTCTCGTCTAGCGATGGCGACTCCATGGTAGAATGAGAATGAGACAGCACAGTGTCCGAGTTTCGTGGCGTCGTGCCGGTTCTTAGGATCGAGGCAACTGCAGCGGGGAGAATGTCCCTCGGAGGCGGTGGTCGACCATGGCATGGATGGCAGACCTGCCTTCAGTCGAGGGAGGGAGAAAGAGTATGAACCCTCTCCTACAGAAAGACCATGGATCGGATGCAGGCCGTTCAGCTTTGGACATGGATAATCAGGGGTGGTGTGGAGGGGACTGTTTCTAAAAGCCAACTTCCTTGACCACCACTTGCATCCTGATGTCCAACCCCGGGCGGTATCCCTTGCTTCTCTGGCCCCATATCGACAGTTGATCATGGAGTGTGGCGGAGAGATGTGATAGGTCAAAGTTCAGCTCCCCACTGGCAACCAACCCCCCTGCAGCTCGATTTGCTCTTTCTGACCTTCGGATCGGGCTGTAGCGAACCGGTTGTCTAAATAGTCGAAAGGTTGGATCAACCGGCGTTAGGTGTGCGCCAGCTTAATCAACTTCACTATAGGCTGCTTCGCCTATCTTGGGGCGTGCTGCAGCAATGCATCCAGGGATTAGGATAAGCGGTGGCTTCTGTAGCAAGTGTCGTAAGGACAAGTCCAGCCTCAGCTCGTCTCTTGTGCCCAGTTCCAACATCCTGGCTCGAGACTGCTTTGGGTCCTCCCCGCATGAGAGTGCCCATTTTCAAACAGCAAGTCCTGATTCGGTACCAGCCCAATCTGAGGCACCGTCGGTGCATTTTGACAGGCCAAGTGACCTCCTTCCATGTCGCTCTGAAAGGTAGCGATCATCCACTGAGAATGTGAGTCCGGGGCAAATGGGATTCGAGGAGGCGCCTCCGCTGGCTCTCACCTCCGAAGCTATTGCAATGTAGCTTCGCTCGTATTGGACATCCTGACATTGGAATTGGGTTCAACACAAGGCCAAGTGTTATGAGACGGTCGTAGGGGGCAGGAGGCTCCAGCATCAGGCTGTTTTGACTGGGAACTCGGACACTGCGAAGCCAGCTCCATGTCGACACCGACAATGCAAGCTGGAGGGTGAATTGAGTCGAACTTTTCGACGAGTCTTACTGGATGGCGCCCGCACCTACAGCAATGTCGCGTTCATGCCACCATGCAGCGAGATTCCTGCTATGCCAGAATCCCACCGTGCACTGGCACTGCAGACATATGCGGCAAGTCCGTCTTCACAGAACATGCTGGTAGACACAATGATCTTGTACCGGCAACAACCCTGGCTTTGGTGCCTGCAGGTAGAAGTCGCCTACTAGCATACCCTAGTAGTTGTTCTGGTGATGTGCATACAGCTGGTCTTTTGCCTCAGGCTCACGCTCTTTAGTGCATGTTCGACAAATCACCAATGATGCTGTGTTGAGAGAGGATCTTGCCCGAACTCTCATCTTCTCCTGCTCCCTAGCGGTCCTTGGGTGGATCAGGGTCAACCCCAGTATTGGTAGCCACACTGCAAGGGATATGCAGGTTTCGAGGTCATGGAGATGAGAATAAGGTGCTGGGCCATTCCCATCTAGTAACAGAAGGAAGACCTATGGTGCCATTACCCGCCCGTACAGCATGTCCTACCTCGTCACAAAGCGTCATGATGCCTCAGCAAGACTCGAGTCACCTGTGCATAGAACGAGCCCGTGTGTTCACACCTGGGCAGATCAGTCACTGGAACCTACCTTAATACGTGAAAGGACCTGTATAGACAAAGCTGCTCTCCTGATTGGCATCTCAACAGGTCCGTGGTTGATCGGTGATGGGGGCTGTGGTGGTCTGTTCTGATGGACATGGAGAGACCATAGAATTGTATGCCTGATATTTCCATGAATGCCTTGGGTCAATGCTGAGTCCCGGTACAGTCACCCACATTGGTAGACTCGGAGGTGATCTTAGGTGCGCAAGCTGGGGAAAGAAACAGAGCAGCTGTTTTGCTTCATGGCCGGTAGGATCGAAGATCTTCGATGCTCACCAGATGTCTCACTCCCGCCATCATGTCCGTTGTTGCTTCCCACTATTATTGGCGTAGAGGGACTGACAAGAAATGCGATGGGAGAGAAAATTGAGAGGCAGGTAGGTCGCTTACCTTGTGGCCCATTGCGCCTTCACAGAGTGATATTACATCAGCGGCTGTGAAGACGAAATCGCAGGCGGAAGGGGATCGGAAGACGGCAGAAGACACATCAGCAGGAGAAAGCATAGACATGTTGGCGGTTGTGCTCTTGGACTTTACTAATAACAGCCCACCATCTGCTCGAAGAGTTTCACCATTACCAGTGCTAAAAGCCAGGAAGTTTAGCAAGTTGCAGGTTATCGAGGCGATGGTTGCAAGTGGTCCTGACGCCTGGGCCGGATACCGGCCTTTGTGCAGCGCCAGCGCCAGTGTGCCGGGCTTGTTAGAGGCTCTGGCGCCGAACTCCCAGCCTCCGGGGCGTCGCTCTAGGCACAGTTTCTCCCTAGAGCGTGCGGCTAGGGAGGCTCCAGCACTCCGAGAATGGTGAAGCCCCCTCGGCCCCATCTACCCAGTAGTACGTAGCACCACCGCAGCCGCCTCCACCTTCACCCAGCATTTTCTGCCTCTATCGCTATCGCATATCTTCCCCTCCGAACCCCGTCGTCGTCGTCGTCGTCGTGTGTCTCCCCGGCCTCAGTTCGCGCGGCCATATCTGTCTCTATTCTCGTTGTTTTCATGTATACTCTTCTTTGTGATGCTTTGATTCTTGACGTTCCCGGCTACACTAGCACACCAAGCGCCCAGGCTCGGAGTAACAACAGAACTTGAACTCGCAGTACTGTTTTGCCCGCTTCTGCGCACTTCCCCCAGCTTCCAGCTTCGCCTGCGCGCTTGCAACGATTATATGCATTTTCCAGGGCGTGAGCATCTACGGGCTCTTCTGCAAACCGTCTACATTCCACACTCCTAAACAATGGAGACCAGTACACCCCCTACCCAGGACGTTGATATGGTTCTTTCAGTCGACGAGAACCAACCACCCTCTCAAGCGCCAGCACGACTTGCTGTGCGCGCCCATCGCAGGTCAAGCACACTACGGAAATCCTCGGCCAGCTCCTCGCGCCGCAGTTCATTGTCCTCGATTCATTCTCGTTCCTCTGGGCTCTCGAGTCATGGAGGTCCCAGCAGTACCCATGTGGCCCAACATCTTCGACGAGCCTCTATCATCGAAAGCAGGAAAGCCCGACTGGCAGACAGAGCCGCGCATGCGGAACAGGTCAGATTACGAGCCGCCGCCGCCAAGGCATCCCAGAGGGCTTCCTATAGCGAAGAAAAGGCTTTGGCTGCACAAGCAACACGGGAGAAGTTGCTGGCGGAAATCGCTGCGCGATGTGAGGAGGAGGTCAGACGGGCCAAAAGGATTGCCGAAGAGACCAAAGAAAAGAAGGCTGCCGAACTAGCCAAGCTACGGGAAGAAATGGCCGAGAAGTTTGAAGAGGCGGCACGGCGGAAATCAATGTATCAGCAGGGTTTACGGAGGTCAAGGACCAGCTCTCTAGCAGCCGTTGAAGAGAAGAAGGTCAGCCCGCCAGTGTCGAACCGCTCCGACAGAAACTACGCCGCCAAAGTGATTCAGCGTGCCTGGCGGAGATGTCGAAGCCGGAGGATCTTACAGGGTTTTGCTTCTCTTGGACTCGATTGGGATCGTGCTAGGGACCTCTCTTTCGAGGACCTAACCCGTTTGCTCTCCGCTGAACGGACAATGAACATCGCTGCCACTACCCTGAGACATCTCGGCGTGGTTGAAGACCCTAGTGAAGATCTAGGAGTCGTCCGTGTCTTCCTCAGTGCCTATATCATACTGGCACATCCAATACAGGCTTTCAGTCATGGTGGCAATGAGCCTCAGGAGCAGGAACTTGTGTCCAAAGCCGGCGCTCTGATCAAAGCCTTTGAGCACCACATTAAGACTCTGTCTTCGTCACCGAGAGGCGATGCATCTGCTTCCAGCAAAGACTCTTTGCTTTTTGCTTTCAATGACTTTAGCTCGACCTTCCATGCATGGAAGAGTCAGGATTTGGGCGTATTAATCGACATTATGGTCAACTCGTTTGTCAACCTTGACCTCATCTTGCAAGCAACGAAAAACGACCACGAGGGTCACGTCGCCCAAGATTATTTGGATGCCGTGCGTCAAGAACAGGTCAAACTACTGGCGCGGCTGAAGAGACTGGCCGGACCAGAACAGGCACTTGCGACAGTAAGGTCGGCTGTCAGACGGGCCCGCAAACAACGAGCTGCCGCTCAGCCCGCAAAAGAAGAAGAACAGGTCCCCCGAGCGTCAACGCCTGTGAACGAAAGCCTGACCGCTCCTCAAGGGGCGCCTTTGACGCCGCCCGCCACTCCACTACCATACGGCCGCGAGTCTGAAGGAAAGGGCGCGTCATTCGCCGACAGCCTCGGACAGATCATGACTGTGTTGCCTTCGAACCGCGAAATCGCACATGAGATGCTCATCAATGGCAGTTTTGAGGTACAGCAGCGGCCCTGGACCGACGTCCGAAAGGATCTCATGGAGACTCTCCGTTCGAGCATGCGTGCGAGCATGCAGGAGGGAAGTAACGAAGTGGTTGCGAGGTGGACGCACGCTATGGCCGTCCTCATACGCGAGAAGCTGATGAATCTTGTCAGCAGGAGACATCCTTTGTATGACAAGATCGACGGCCTTCTCGATCCGGCCTTGATCAGCCAACAGTGTCGGAACAACGTGTTTTCGTATGATGCCTTCTTTGACACCATTTCGAGCATGATTGCGCAGATCTGTTCGCCGGGTCGTGACGATATGGTGAAGGCTTTTGCTTCAAATACAACCAGTGACACCATTGATCGATTGTTCGAGCTAATCAATATTATCGACCTGATGACCCTCGATCACATCAATTTTCAATTCAGACTAGCCTCACAATCCGTGCTTGAGCACGGCCACGAGCACGAAATCGCCTCGTTTGAGAAAGATCTTCAAGAAGGGGTGCATGCCCTCGAACGCACAAAAAGGTGGTGGGCTGATGCACGGTCAAGCACGACATCGTCAAATCCAAGTGGTAGTGTCGTATATGCCAGGGGCCTGACGGATTTAGTGCTACGCAATTCACATCTGTCGTCGCACGATGTCCCTGAGACCCTGCAACTCGACCATCTCCGTCTTCTCAAGCTAAGATCTCGGGTCTTTCACATGATAGCTACGGCCTCGATCCTTCTCACGACCAAAATCCGACTCCGGCGAAATAGAGAGTCATCCTGGACAAAGGACGCCGAACGATTGATGTCTCTGGACCTACTGACGACTGACTGCCATCGGATTGTCTCCTTGCTCGAGTCATCACACATGATGCCCGATGCGACCAAGGAAGGCTTGTCCAACTTTGTTGGTCGCGTTCTACCTCCTGCTGTCGCCGCGGCCCAGAATGCAAACACGGCGGAGCAAGCCCGGCAAGATGCGATTCACAACCAGTCTGCTCAGGAAGGGTCAGTGGCCGTGGAGCAGGAGCAGAAGATGGACTCTGGTGACGTCTTCAGCGAACAGATTGCTAGCTTCATGCTGAAATCGTTGCGTGAGCATGTTTTCGCCAGGTTGTCTGCCAGCGGCACCGCCGAAAGAGTGCGAACGACCACCGGTGCGGCCGAGATTCTGGCCCGAGTTGGCATGCCGGAGTTTTTGGGCGAGGTCAACCGGATTGTGGATGAACTTGAAAGGATCCGTGCCGTGGACCTCAAGTGCCATGGAAAATGGTATGACCAGATTGCGACTGAGACAGCTCAATGAGACGACAAGGTTGATGTCGTGCTCTACGAACAGTACCAAGGGTAAATCTCGCGTCCGATATAACCTAGCAATGGTGGTGTTTTTGTGTCTTTGCGTCCATGGACAATTTGCACGAAGCCTTTGCGAGCCATTATATTATATATGTATATACATGCCTCCCTCACCGAGGAGACGATGAATGACGAACTTCGCCATGACTTTGATACAGTCAGCTACCTCTCTGTGGCCACACTTAACATTGACTGCTCCCTTTCCCCACCTATTTTATACCTGACTTGCTCTACTAGATCGCAGCAACATTAACGAACACCATCACTACGTTTACTACCATGAAAACCGGCGAAGACTGCCACAGTAGCAGTCCAGTTTGGACTAGGACTGAACCACTGTCTTCTACGAGAATCCTCTATCAGACAGATACATCATACCCTACCACAATCCGCAATCTCAAGTTCATCATTCATCGACCACCCGTGCTGGCCTTCCTCTCGATCAATACGCCTTTCAAGCCAAATTGACCATGGCAACGGCTTAAATGCCTCAATGGCACTAAATATTGTACATCAGAATCCTATTCTCTCTGGGTACAATATTGGACCATCCTTCACGGACTGACATTGAGGTACTTGCTGTATTCTGTTTCGGCATCCCCATCTCACACATACAACGTTGTAGATCCGAATGTACCCTATCGCGCGAGTCCGTCGTCTCTTCATCTCCGCTCCACAACTTGGGTACAGGACAGCCTCCGGAAATTTGTCAACCGACCAATCTGCCAGCGCCTCTCCCATCAATGGGGCAAAGTAGGTGACATCGTGGAGGATCGCTAATCGATATTCGGTCCGTCCTCCAACTCGATTGGGAGCCCGAGATGGTCCATGCGCACCACCATCCCGGCATCCCCCATGGTCCTGCAACGTGGGATGGCGTCCTGATAGGGTTTGATCAGACGGCATGCTTTCCATTTCGAGATAAAGGTCCAACGAAATCTGTCATAACTCGTTCGAAAGGGACTTCGCCCCTGAGGAGCTAGAACATTTCCAGAGGCCAAGTTCCTTCTTCCGGCGCACAGCCGACCGTGACCTCTCCGGGCGTGCGACACACAGCCCAGACTTGCTCAACATCAGATTCTAGTGTACATCGCCGCTCTCTCTAGCGAGCTAGCCGGGCTCGCTTAGAACCATGTGAAGGCAACGCTACGCTGACCCTTGTGCTGCTCTGGAGTCTAGAACTTGCTACGTGTTCGCGCTCGGGTCTGTTTGACTACTGTTCAATGTCAAACAATACTTCGGCGTTTTGTCCTGCCGCACGAGACACTCACCGCAATGTTATAGCACAACTCTCATGTTACGCAGTTGAGTTTGACTAATTAGCGACGGACCCGCAAGCTCACCGCCACGTGGCTCGGCGAGAGAAGGCGAAGATGATCTACTAACCAGGTGTAGGTTGTGGGTTCCATGGGCCCCGATCGAAGGAGGGCTTGACAGACAAGGTGGGCACAATGGTTTTACTTCTGTGAGATCCCATTCTTCTTCTCGCCTTTCCTGTCAAAGGGGCCAAGGAACATCGGAATGCAGTTACCCGGTCCTCGATCACTTCTGGACACCATACTCGCTACCAGCACCAACATCTATCCAATGTTTGTGCGCTTTGATTCGCAACAGAACTGTCTATCACACTACCAGGGGCGGTGAGCTGGTCTCGCACCATGGCTCACAGTGCTAGGACGTCCCAAGGCGAGGAGGTAAGTAGACAACCCTTTCTCTATTGTCCTGTTCGTTTGTATCTCGACGGGAGGACTACGGCGACTGACCACAGGGCTATGATATAGTATATGACAGAAGCCACCGAAGACTCGGGGTACTATGAAGACATATCTCCAGGCACCGAATCCGTCCCGGCGTCGATATACGATCACCGGTTCGAAAACGGCCGTCGCTACCACGCGTACAAAGAAGGGTCGTACTTCATGCCCAACGACGAGCCGGAGCAGCAGCGACTCAACATGCAGCATCAAGCCGAATATCTTGCCTTGGGGAGGCGCAATTTACTTGCTCCGATCGTCCACCCACGCAGGATCTTGGACCTTGGAACCGGGACGGGCATCTGGGCCGTTGAAATGGGCGATCAGTTCCCTAGTGCTGAAATGGTGGGCCTCGACCTAAGCCCAATCCAACCGAGTGCTGTCCCGCCGAATGTGAAGTTTGAAATCGACGATGTCGAGGACAACTGGACGTTTCCGAACAGTTGTTTCGACCTCATCTTCTCCAGGGACATGTTGGCGGGAAGCATTGTCGACTTTCGGCGGTATTTCGAGCAAGCGTATAGGTGAGTGGCTAACAGCCTATCAAATTCCACCTTTGTCTGGCCCAGGACACAACTTTGACTCTTTGTCTCCGTGCCCGTCTTATCTGACCAGACGATCCGCGCTCCACATCATCGACGTCTTAGTCAGTCCGGAGGAAATGTGACGAGCCGAGCTTCCTTGTCCAGGTTTATGACGGGCCTGATTCTAACTTGTCTTTCGATTCTCAGGCACTGCAGACCAGGTGGTTATTTCGAGATCCATGAGAGGCAGATCACTCAAATCCGCAGTGACCAATATCCCGCCTCGGAAGACAGCAGTATCAAGCAATGGTGTGACCTGATGAATCAAGGCATACAAGTCATGGGCCGCCGTCTCGACCTTGACCCCAACGATATCGCTGATCTCCTACACGAAGTTGGGTTCGAGCATGTCACCGTGACGACCTACCAACAACCCATTGGCCAATGGCCGGAAGATCTGGTTTTGAGACAGTCCGGAGCCTTGCAGCTACTGGCCTTGCTCGAGGGCATGGAAGGTCTGAGTCTCGCTGTCTTCTCACGGTGCTTGCACTGGTCCAAAGCAGATACGGAGGTCCTGCTGGAGAGGACGAGGCGGGAGCTCACCGTGCAAAGGGCTTGTTACTATTGCTCTGGGTAAGTCAAGTCAGAGCGAGAGTCATGGACTCCGTGTCAGGCCCCGGTGGTCGGTTGTGTAGGTTCAATGCTGATTGAGACAGGTTTGTCATTCACGCTCACAAACCGGAAGTCCCGTAATACCACATGGGCATTGAGCTCACATACTATGCAATAAAACCTGAATTGAAAGGATACTAACCTACGCACAGGACCCGCCGCTGGGGTCCTTAGATTGCAAAGCTTGCCGCGACGGTGCTAACCATTGACGCGAATTCAGGCACTGATGGCGCGCCGTGGCCGGTGCCGGTACTGGTCCTATCTGAAGTGTAGCAGGACACTCGCTTCATTCCGTCAAGCCTATGATCGGTCGTCAGGATGTACCTGCCCGGCAGATCTCGACCCTAACACCACACCGTTGGTATCCACGCTGGAAGCTTTCATTCTGTTGGCCTCCGATTCCCCAGGTCGACGAACTGGCCACAGGACCTCGCCGTCGTGTGCGACGAGAAGCGCAGGTCAAGCGCCCACTCTACCCCAGTTCACACACTGAATCTGGCGATGGCTGCTCCCTCACTCAGTCGGCGACCACCCGGAGAACGGATGGACCGTTCGCTGGGGAAGCTGCCTTGTTCTAAAATTCGCCTGTGGCCAACATGAACCAAAGCCCAAAGCACAGAGCCCTATTATTGCGGACAACACATGTATTGTGCGCGAAAGCGGAACGATAAAACCCTCGCCAGCCGCATCAGGACGTCGCCTTGCATACCTAGGTATCCCCACATGCGGCCTTTTGTCCACACACGAAACTCATATCAACTCCGGGTGCAGTTGCACGGTCAGTCGCTCGAGCGGTGCCAGCCAGCAAGCAGACACAGGCCAGGCGTTGCACCAAATCGAACTTTTATGTCCGCTAAGCGGTCGTGCTCTCAGTGTGGGGCGTTCAATGGTCTTTCACTTTCCCTTCAAAGGGTCTCTACCTGGATATCATACGGAAAGAGCCGCAGCTCTGGCATCAGCTTCGCATTGACGGGTCGAGAGAGAGGAAAAAAGGCAGGGAAAGGCTTCAGCTACTGACGCCACCCAAATACTTGATCTCGCCTGCTCGGCCCTGGCAGACGAAACCCCGCGGGCATAGCGGGCATGCTTATACATCCGAATCAAGGTTCATCAATTGCAAGGTGGTGGCCAGACCAGTCTGCCAGGTATGCAAGTGGCCTGCAAGGAAGGTCTTCAGGATCCTCCGGGAGATTGAACGATTGAAGAGATTCCTGGTAGTTTAATAAATGCCAATCATATACCGCGGGATAGCCCTACAGGAGGGTAAAGAACGCATGGTCTAGCGAACACCGGCACCAACTCAGTGAACTCACCGCGAATGGCCGATCTCTGGGGAATAGGGGCGAAAGTACTGCAGTACTGTAGGTATTTCGTGCAAAAAATCCTGTTGCCCACCGTGCGCTTTCCGACCATGATTAGCTGCTGAGGCTTACCTTCCGCTTCTGCTGGTTCTTAATCGTGCTCCCAGAACCACCCACGGAGCTCTTGGACGTGATCCTTTTGTGTCTTTCAGACCAAAGCCTTCATCATATGCCTTACACTTAGGGTCTGTACAAATGCATTGCTCATAGAGGCCATTGCAACCATTTCGCAGCTCGTGTTGGAGGCAACAGAGTTGGGCCGGAAGTTGAAGTCGTGTCTCGCAGTGATTGGACACGCGTTTCTGGTAAGTCTCATTCTAATAAACAACACATGTAGTTTGGGTATGCTAGTGCCAATGCACGACGTCGTTTGATAGATGCATACAAACGCTGCCCTCGTAACGAAAAGGACGACAGCGTTAGGTGGCCTTGGGCCAGTTGGGTCCAGGCTATGTAGTGTAACCTTCCCAGCGGAATCCCCGCCCTGCTCACAGATGTTACTTGGTTCAGCGTGTCTAGCCTCAGGCCACGGTCTTGACTTCGACTTCAAGGTATCTCCAGTCCTGGTCCCGAAATCTGGTGTATAAAGTAGGTCTCGCAAGACCTCTCGACGTTGAGAACTCTTCAAGTCCCCATGCTTATACGCCCTGCTTGTGAGTTCAAAACAGACGGACCATTTGGTTGCTGCGACATTGAGTACACCAATTCGATTCGCCCTTTCAACCCCGCGTTTAGAATGCCACGTCAGCAAGAAGTGTGTGTCCAATATCAGATCTGTTACACATGTGGACATTCGCTCAACAGCGTCTTTGTCAAATGCGCCAAACACGCTGCCAAAGAGGATCAAAGATGTGCAACAGGCGTCTGGAGATATCAAGAAGCCAAGAGATCCACTCATAAGTGTCGAAAATGTTTACAGAGCGGCTAAGGTGCGATAAGAGATTCCACATCGGGAGGCCATCGATTAACGACTCCATGTAGCCTGAATTTACCGCTGAAGACGGCTAGGACCAGGAGCAACCGGCATCGGAAGACCTGCGCAGATGCATTTTCATTTTGCAAAGGTCTTCATTCTTCATAGCTTCCCAGGCTTGAGGGTTGTCAAGGGGCTGCATGACAGAGTCTTCGAGGTCGATGAATCGAGGTCCCGAATCTGTTATGAGAATATTTTCCTTATTTGGATCACCATGCGTAATGCCCAAGTCGTGTAAGCTTTGAAGGGCTTCTTCGCAAAGCTTTTCGTCCGTGATGTTGGCAGGCCGACCGACTAACGCTTCGAGAAGAAATCCAATAATGCGGCGGTTTGGTCCCTCAAAGACATATCCCAACAATTGAGGTGCCAGCCGTGACTTCTTTTGTGCGAGCGCATGGTAGGCTCCCAATTCTTGTGTAGTCCACTGGATTTCGAAGGCAAATCTTGCGTATTTCAGATAGCATTGTTCGGTTCCGTTTTTGACATATGCGACGCGAGGCTTCTTCGAGGTGATAACTTCCAAGTCCAGGATGTCAAATAAGGGATATGATCCGCAGGCTATGCTTTGAGGAATTGCGTGCAGCTTGAAAGCATTCGGAACACACTGAACATCAGTGTCACCGCTCTTGGAAATGGTCAGTGTGTCCCAGCTATCGTCCCAGCCTCTGAAGCGAGATAGATCGCGAATCAGTTCAAAGGCTGATGTTTGCGACTCTTCAGGCAGGAGGTCAATGTCGACAACGTGAACATAAATCACTCGTGCTGCGTCATTTTCTTCGCGTCGAAGTCGGTAAAGGCAGTCGGATGGTGACAGATCGAGGTCCAACAAGACATCCCGTCGAGTCATTGAGACCACATTTATATCTTCTTGAAAAGTCTGCCGTAATTGTAGATCATATCCAGTCTGGCCCTCAACCCTTCTGCGGGCTATTTCTTCGGCATCAGGATGCCAGTTGGGCAAAGCCATACGAAGACCCCTTGAGAACTTGAAGGAGGTGGCTTGGGTAGAGAGAATGACTCAGGCGGATGTGGAGGCGTGAAGGAGCATGAGTCATGTACCTAGGTACTCTTGGCATTATTTGGTAATGGCAGCTCTGATCGACTTCAGTCGTTCTACGAACATCTGCGCTTTTCCTCTTCATCTGCTATCCCATCCATCACTACTGACTATCTCACAAGAAATTGGAGTTCCTTTCATACAAACCCGTCTCTCTGCTTCCACCTCTCTTACACGTTTTCCAACAAAGAAATAAAAATGCCTCGCCAGCGTGGAGGTCCCGCTCGATCTGCTCCGTCGCGACCGACGGCAGCAGCACCTCGGCCTGCAGCGCCACCTCAGCAACAACAACACCGACCGATGTCGACCACCGCCGCTGCGCCGCCTGCTCAGCAGCAATACGCCCATCCGCCGCCTCAGGCTGCCCAGGCATCGCAGGGACCAGGTCTGTTTGGACAAATGGCCAGCACAGCAGCGTAAGTGTCACCAACCAGAAGTCCCCCATATTGCATTTTGTCACCGATACAATTGTATCTGGTCCGTCTTCAGTTTTACTGATCATGTATGTATACAGTGGTGTCGCAGTTGGCTCCTCAATCGGCCATGCTATCGGTGGTCTGTTCAGTGGCGGTTCTTCGTCAGCCCCGGTTGAACAGCAGCAACAACAACAGCTCCCAACCGATGCCTACTCCCGAACAGGTGGTGCCATGGACAACGCCCTGTACGCGCAAAACTCGTCTACCGAGGCATCGGGTCCTTGTGCTGCCGACATCAAGAGCTTCACCGACTGCATGAACCAGAACCAAGGCAACATGACGATTTGCGGTTGGTACCTGGAGCAATTGAAGGCTTGTCAGCAGGCTGCTCGACAATATTGAGAGATTGTCATGTATGATGTCCATGGATGACCGGTCTTCACTATCTTCGTCGCTGAGTCAAAAGTTAATTCCGCTGCAAGGTGCCTTCAAAGTTAGAGTGGCAACTTGCGGTGGGGTGACAAAGGAAAATCCATACAAACCCACCGGATTTACATTGTCGATATCGTCAAGGATGTGTGAATAAACATTTTCCGGGGAAGATACGTCACTCATTGGACTTTTGAGCCCGCGCTGTAGAAGGCCAACTGCATTGCGGGTGTGGGTTGCATATAAATGGAAGAAAGAGCAATCTGTCGCACGGGGCCGCCGAAAAGCAGCCGGACACTCACGTCTCAAAACCCAAAAATAAATAGATAGACATAATATCTCTCCACTCAGTGGAAATTTGCATCAAATTCCTCGTATCGCAGGGGAGAAGAAACAGACTCGCTTGCCTAAAGTACACTCCGAGAGACATGCTTCAAGCCGATTCAGAGGCTTTTGCACCGTCCTGCGCGGTTCATATTGCTGGCGGTCGGACCTACTTACTATGACCAGGTCAAGAGCGCTTGTCTTGATAGACAGGCAGTCCGGCCATGAGGGGTCCGTTCATGGCATGCTGGGAGTCAGTCTGGCACTGTAGCGTCCAACATGAATATAAAGGCTGGCATGTGTCATGATCCAAGACAGTTGCATCTGACACCGGGGAGGACGGTTACAATACCACAGGAGGCTGTGGACCAATATTCCCCCTGTCTTCCTGATCTGAGTTGCGTTCTGACAGTTTGCATGATGCTTCTGCTCCTAGAGACTCTCCCAAGACCATGCGGTGTGCGTGGGCAGTAGTCGTGCGTAATCGGGGTAAGAATCGAGGAGTTCATGTAAATGTCTTACGGGACGATGTGATGGTCCATGACCACCAGAGCCTTTCAGCAAGTCGAATTCATTCCGGCGGTTGGGCCAACCAGCACAGTGCAGTATATGTGATATTCGTAATAAACCGTTCATCTTCCGAGCCGCTTATTGATCGCATAGCATCCACCAATCTTGGCTGCTTGGCTGGGTGAACACTGCAGGAGAAGAACAGAAGACCACGAGTCGAGGTTGTGAGATAATAAGCTCCAGTTAATCACCTTGTAAATATTGACAAGACAGGCTCACATTTTGGATGCTTGACACCCTGAACCCGGACCGAATGGCTCACTACTATAGCATTCTGACACTGAGACCAAAGCCTAACACATCCATCGATTGCTGTATTGAATGGACGGCCGGTTCTCGATGGCAAAATTGCCAACAGGAAGGCGTGTCTTCCACCTTGGACCAAGGCCAAGCCGGGGAAGCTCTGAGTTTATGAGTCTGATCCATGGACAGGGTTCTATGCCTGCCGCTGGGGTGAGATATGGTGGTTTGTTTCTGTAATTACCATGAGAGCAACGTAGAAAATAGGTCGATGGTGCTTGGATCAGCCCATTCTTCTCGGTTTCAATCCGTGTTTTCGCAAGGGAATGTCGAGCTAGTTAGGGTCCCCGCCGACTAACAGCACTTCTCCTTCGCAGGTCATACCTGATGGTTGGAGGAGTGCTGCGCTGGCAGTACATTCACCTGGCATTCTTCCCGAGAGGTCTTCGACAGGCCCATCTGGAGATCTCACATGTTTGGATGAATGAGCATGAGAACAGCGCGTGGCTGGCGTTAAGCGGGTTGGGCTCTGAGCACCAGGCAGCTGTTAACACAGGGTTATGGCTCCTGCAGGGTCTCCCGGGCGCCGTATCTGTCAGAGGCCTTCACAGCCCCCAAAGTCAAATTGGAGAAACAAATTTGGTGGGGAGGTATGCCCGCAATCACGAACAAACAGCCTGTGGGGTGTTTGAAGATGAGCTCTGTTTGACCCACGGGCATGCAAAGGAACGTAAGCATGGGCACAACCTTCGAGGGGGTTTTAGCAATGCCCCTGCCTTGTTCAGAAGGTAGAAGAGACAGGTGCCTGTGCAAAAGTACACGGCCCAGGAAAGCGCTGCGAACCTTGGAAGGTGTCAATGCATGCAGCTTGAGTGGATCGTGGCAGGGCTGAGGTCAGCCCAGTTGTGTGCGAGTGTTAGCGAGGATGGTTGGCGCCAGTTGGTGAGTCTTCCTTCGAGAAGCATGCCGCATTAGGAAGGGCGAAGCTTGCTAGTCTGGGACTTTCCAGGAGCCATGCAACTCCGCAGCAGGACATAGTTGTAACTCTATTTGTCGTTGTCGAGGACTATCCCGTACTAGCGACAGCTGCCTTAGGCACCAGTCATTCCAGCTTCGCGCCGCATTCCCGATTTGGCTCAACTTGCGAAAATACCAAGCAAGCATTTGTGTTTATCACGTCGTCGCATATTGTGTTTCAGCAAAGCCACACCAACTGCGTTCCTGTTTCGTGGATCCGGACTGTTGTGTGATTATTGTCAAGATTGTGGAAGCGCTAGCAGGCCAGCAGTGACCTGTTGGTTTATCACAATCAGTGAACCGCAATAATAAAGCACTAGTACCACTTACCTGTAAGCACCCAGGGAGCATGGACGCCGGCCTGGACCACTCAATCACTGCTCGTTGCCGCGGTACTTTCCAGGCTCACTTTTTTTTACAATGCGGGCAGGGTCAAAATCTGATTGATCTTTAGCTGTCCGAGCCGTTCACTGGTGAGAGATGAGAGGCATCCGTGATTCCGTGGACCCTCCGAGCCCACCTGTCGCACTAGTGCCCAAGTCGCTCTGCCTGATCAACCACTATGCTGGAAGGGCTTTTTCAATCGGAAGTCGGCATGCGTAGCTTATAGCGTTCACTCCGATGATGCATTGAAACCGAGATCTCCCCGCTGAACACGGTCGACACACAGGTCACGAGTGTCTTTCCACGAAAAGGAAGCGGACGGAAGTGGCCAAGCTAAAAGATTGAATCTCTCTGGAACTGGAGTCGCTCGGTGTCATGTTTGAAGGTCACGAGCAGGTATTCGAACCAGGGTGCTTGCAAATTGCGGAGAGTTTGCAGGATGCCATTTGTCGATTCGGTCCTAACGAAAACTCCCAAGATCCGAAAACGACGGAGGCTCGGAGTTTGAGGTGGAAAAGCAGATACTGATGCATAACTGGGCATAAAACGCACGGCCCACTGGTAGGTGGAGTTATGGTTCAGGAAAGCGTGCACAAAGGCGTGTGCACTTCCGGATTGGGCGACGAAAGGTCCTGGACATAACGACACAAATCGACGGTGCTTCGGTCTCCGCAGCCGGAATATTCGTCCAAAATGTCTCCGAGTGCCATGTTCGTTAGGCAAGTCGTCAACTTTTTGGTCCGTCTCCGTCCACGGGCAGATGAACCAATTGTATCCGCATTTTCCCTTATGTCAGGGCCAAGCTTCAGGCAGAACTGTTTCTCTGTACAATAATAATGCTATCTTGTGGGCCACTGTCGCATTCGGGTCCTGAATAAGTATACGGGAATACGCTTTGTGGTCTGTTGTTGTAGAGACTGCACACGAAAGGCCACGCAGTCAATCTCCGCAGGGAGCTGCAAGCCTCGCTGCGTGCGTTGCTCCTCGTTGCTGTAAGAAGCCACAGCATTGCAATGGAGCTGTAGCTTCAGGCAGCCGCAATTGTATGCACACGGCACAGCACAGCCCGAACTGATCGCAGATTCCACCAATTTGGGGAATAATGGAGACGACCTTGGCCTAAAAGCTGCGTGGTGGCTCAACTGGACAGTACCTTAGGTAGATGGGGGGTTAGTTGCTGTCGCTTCTGGGAGCTTGTTGGGCCTGATAGTGACCGGGGGATAAGCGATAAGGCATATTTTGGGGCGCCTCGCATGCCTCCATAGCCCCTGGAAGTTGACCTTCTAGGGAAGCATAGGTGCACCCCAGGCTTCAGCTGGCCCCCTCGGCCCTCCAAGGGTTATGCAGAAGGCTTGTGGTAGATGGTGTGGAAGGGCATGCAGCCCGACACGGGGTGCCCGCAATCCAGGACCTCATCGCCCGCACAGAACACGGCGTGGTCGAGGCAGTGTCCCTCGTATTATTATGCCCATTGATTTGATGAATCGTGAAGGGGCAGCAATGATTCCAATCCAAAAAGTTTGAAAGTGATGCCGAAGTTGGTAGGCCGCAGGAGTTCGTGCCGCCGCGGTATCCAACCTGTAGGCACCAGTTCAATCTGGACTGATTATACCGTCTAGGAAGGCACAGGGATAGTCAGCTGTGAGTCTGGACGGCTTCAATTACGAGAGCAGAGTGTCAGAGTGGTAATGTTGGTCGTGATAGCAACCTATGTTAGAGTTCTGTCGACTTGAATGTTGCAACGCATGGATTACCAAGCTGCCCTATCGGCCCAATAAGCAACAGAGTCACAACGAAGGGCGTGTCGTCACCGCCTTCTTACTGGTGCTGGCGTGTTGTCGGAAGGGAGAACCCAATGTTAGGATTTCTCAGCAGAGCATCGAAGAAACCTTGAAGCTTGGGGTCCTCTAGCACTACTGGAGTCAAGAACAGCGAGCACGAGGTTCCGCTGCACCTAAAGGGCCCGCGTGAGCCTCCACGGCTGACAGAAGGTACGAAGTTAAGCCTTGGGATTAGAAAATTGTCAGGCAGTAGTATCGCAGCTAGGAAACAGCGGCAGCAATAGACGGATTGGGACTTGGGACGAAATCTGAGTAAACCGTTACAAAAACTGGGTGCTGGTGAATCTGTGCTGGTCGGAAGATTGCACGAGCCGACCGCTTGCGGAGGTAAGAAAGGCTCCGACAGAAGATCAAACTCAGTAGGTAGGCAGCCGGATTATGGAAGGGACAGAGACGGTCGACTGAGGAAGCGAACGGCCGAAACAGCGGCCGGGGCTCCCATTGCCCACAGACCACTGGCAAAGAGTGTGTAGGAGGCCTCTGCCAGTGCTGGGCATGTAAGCGTTACGGACGAGGACAGATCACACCGTCATCTGCGATTTCTCAGCCGGCAGGGATGGGTGATGGGCGCTGTCATTCTGCACTGCACTACTGGCAGTGAGTGACTGCAGTAGCAGTAGTGACGGCTGACTGATGACTCGTCCTGCTGCAGCGGTCGTCGTAAGGCGGAGAGATGGTAAAGCCGAAGCGTGGCATGGTCCTCTCTTCAGCCCCCTTGATGATGGGTGCAGTGCTAGGCAGTCACAATTGTTAGTGGAGTGGCCCCTGCTCACGGCCCAGCATTCATCCCGACTCGTATTATTTTCTGCTCTCGCGATCGCATCCTGGTCCGGGTTCGGGTCCACACACTCCTCCTTCTCGGCCTTTACGCATGGCCCCGGCTCCACCCTTCGCTTCTCGCATTCGTTTCTTACTCAGGCACCTCCGTTCCATGGAATAGTCATCCTAACGTTAATGCAAATCCGATGCTCTGACCCATCCATGCTTCCGCTAACTCCATCCACCTCGCGTTTACAAAAGAACCCGTCCACCCTCCTCTAAGCAATCACTCTTCCTTCTGCATCAGACAGCAGTACAACAAACAAACACACGACTCAACTACATTATACCTTCACCAAGCAAGAACACTCAATACATACTGCGACTGCCAGCCTTCACCACACTGGAAGGCCACACTTCAATCCAACAGCAGACTATATTGTCAATCAAACCAACACTAGCACTAGCATCCCTGCAGTGACTCACGGCAAGATGCCTTCATCAATCAGCTTTTCCGCTGGTACAGCGACAAATACACCCAACAGCTCCATCTACACACGTCCTCAAAAGAAACAGAAGATGAGCATCACCCAAACCTACTTCCTCGCCCACAGTGCCCGCGGCAAGCTCTCTCGAGAGGCTGCCCGGCCTGACCACGACCTCCGGCTCCTTGTCGGACACGCCAACATGCTTGACTCTCTCATGCTTGATCTCGCCAATGCCGAGCAGGAGCAGGAGCGATGGTTCAACAACATCGTCTCAGGATCATCTAAAGCCGAAGAAGATGAGGAGGAAGAAAGCCAACAATCCCACATTGAGACCATTGTGGAGGAGCCTGAGGCCGATTGGAAAGTCGAGGATGCCGAGAGCTCCGACGACGAATCCGAGGATGAGGATGAGGAGAAGCCCATCACCAACATCACTTCCATCGAAGTGGACTCCGATATGGAGGATGACGACGAAACTGATGGAGACCTCGTTCTCACTCGCACGGCCTCTCGACATTCACCGCCAGAGCTCAGTCTGGACACCGACTCGTCAGACTCAGACGACGACCACATGCCTCCCTCACCACCCGCAACCACATTGGAGGTCCTAAGCGAGAAGCAACGGCAAGCAATTGCCACGACTTCCTATTACGATGCCAAAGACTCCTCGTCCTCGCTATCAGCCGCCGAGTCGGAAACCCTAGAGCAACAGGGTTTCTATTTACCGTCAAGGCAACAGCCGACCATAATCGCTGCCTATTGAGCAGGTTGATTGACCGCCCTTGATGACCTTACTTGAGCGAATGATACCGAGCGTTCCGAGCGTGTCTTTTATGAGCATGGAGTTGTGGGTATACATGGTTTATATTGGTTACAAAAAAACCAACTGCAGAGGAATTGAATATCGACCATGCTACGAAGCATCCGACAGCCCGGAGCATCGCCTCATGTTCTCATTGCAGACCTGGTAGTCGTGGCTTCAAGCCAGCACAGGAAAACAATGGAGTTCATGACTTGATGCATCGAGCAATCAGTGCAGACGGCTTCTGGTCGTCGGCTTCAGAGCCGAATTGACTCTACTCTATGTACTATTTGCAGGATCGTTCTCCCTCTCATCTGTTTGAGGTTGAGATTAGGAAAATAACAAACATTATCTACTCATTCTTCATTCCATCATTCCTGCAATTTTTCTCAGCTATTGACTTCTGTTGACTCTCGTTTACCATGCGCTCCAGTGCCGTTATTGTCTACGACCTCCAAGTTTCTCTCACATGTTCCCCACCGGAAAAGAAAATGCGGTGCTGTGGTGGCTGTCGGCGATCGTACAACTAGTACAACGTAGTACGTGAGTCACTTTGATCACTAAATTGCTTGTAGCCTTGCCATTAGTAGTTAGAAGCTGCCATTTAGCGCCGGATAGCCGGGATCTAAAGGTGGTTTCTCCTCGGGCCCGACATTTGACAACAGCGCGCGCAATCGCCTACCGCGACTGGCACAACTCGGAAGCACGGCTTTTGCGGGTGGCCGTACGGCCGAACATGAAAGTGAGCCGCAGCCGACTTTACCGGATCAAGCTAGCCGGGTGAGTTGCCGACTAGTACTAGTACTAACTAGTCGGTCAATCAAACTCGTTTCGTCCGCTGGACTACAACTCGGACCTCTGGGCTGTTGTTTCAAGGGTCTGGACCTCTGATTATATGACGATAGTCCTAGACCGATGGTCAAGTCGATATATTGGACGCTCAGGGCAACCGCTTGCAGTAATCGGCAGCCTTGTCACATTTCGTCTGGGGTTTCATGCTTCCATCTTAAGCGCAAACGCATTCAACTTCATTTTGTTGGTTCATTCGTTGGCAACGGCCAGTTCCCTATACTACGGATAAGAAATTGTGGTTACTACTAGCACAAGGTATTCTCCTTGTGAATATCTCTCGGATCTCGGCTTGCTATTTATTACTCATCGAAGAGGAGAAGCTAGCCGCCCTACCGGTCACTGGGACACTGGGACGCTGGTACTCCCGTTGTCGACTACTACTAGTGGCCGAGGTGGGTATCTAGGGACTTGGCTTGAGAAAATTTGTCCGTCGTGGAAATGTCGGACTCTCCGTGGAACTGCCAGCGTACACTGCAGTGGTCTAGATACAGCATGTTGCGACAGGAACTGGAATCCCATGCCTTGTACCGTGAGGAAAATATTTGCCATGTTATGGCCGGCGTCTTCTTGCTTCGCGAATGCGAACGGGCGGGCGGCTGGCACGAGGCTGTTTCGATCCTTTCTGTCCGGCGTCAATTGCAGTGGAGGCCGGAGAGATTTGTGCCCGGCGCGGCTTTTTTAGCGCTTTTCTCCCCTTCGATGGATCTTCGATGATTCCTCCTCCGCCTTTCTTTCTTTGCGCCGAGGCTTCGGCGGACGAAATGAACGCAACGTTTTTGTTTTCGATCTTCTCGGCGAAAGCGAACCATTTGCTAAACCGCCGTGGTAGCGGAAAAATTGGCAGACAACCCAGTGCACACTGACAGTTTCTAGGTACTGAGGGTATCAGGCCTGGATTCAGGTTGATAAGAGATCACTTGGAGCAAAAGCGGCGGGTCATTCATAGTACGATTGCTGATGGATCGAGCATATGCGAGCGCGTTCGGACATACCAAAATTTTGACAGCCCAAACAAAATTCTGTTACTACAGCGCGTTGTAGGGCTGCTGAGAAATCGATGACGCCAACCTGTTCGGCGTTAAAGGGCGCGAGAGAAAAGAGACTTCTGTCGACAGCTGCCAACCAATAGCAGCAGAAACTCTCCATCTCGACTTGACGCTGCGTACCTGTTAGATAATCAAACACGCTCGCTTGATAAGCAAAGCAAACTAACCGTGCCAAGGACCTCGTCAGGGGGACCCACCCCTCCTTCCGAGTTTGGCGGCCGCGTTTACGCGGCGCCACACTT